TGCCTGCAGACCACCTGTCGTCTCTCTCCAGCCACCCCTCATCCCTCTCCAGCCACCCCTCATCCCTCTCCAGCCACCCCTCATCCCTCTCCAGACCACTGCTTCTCCAGCCACCCCTTTTCCCTCAAGACCACCCCTTCTCCCTCCAGAGCAATCCTTCCTCTCCAGCCACCTCTTCTCCCTCTCCAGCCACCCCTTCTCCCTCTCCAGCCACCCCTTCTCCCTCCAGAGCACGCCTTGCCACCTCTCCCATGGCTGTTTCCAGTTGCTCTCCTTAGCGCTGCCACATCCCGCTGTCGGGCCGTAACCCCGCGCTGAAGGAGGTGCTGGGCATCCGTCCGCACATCCTGGTGCTGAACAAGATGGACCTGGCTGATCCCCGCCGGCAGCCAGTGAGCACCGGGGCAGGGCTGGGTTGGGCTGGCTGGGGGGCAGCGGTGGTGGCACAGGGAGGTGACAGCAGAGCCTTTTCTCCTGCCCTGCAGGTGATGTTGGAGCGGCTGAAGGAGCAGGGATGCTCACAGGTGGTGTTCACAGACTGCCAGCGCGATGTCGGTGTCAAGAAGGTAACGGGGCTGCAGCCCAGCCCTGCTCCCTGGTGAGCTCCCTGGTGAGCTCCCAGCCTTCAGGGCCCTCCCAGGTGCCTGCTCGAGCGTGATCCTCTTTTCCAGCTGTCCCAGTCCTCTGTTCAGCCCCCTGGCAGAGTGTCTGTGGCTGCTGCAGGGTGCCAGCCCCTGTCCCTGTTTCCCTACAGATCGTTCCCCTGGTTGCCCGGCTGGTGTCTGAGGGCCCACGCTACCACAGGGCCGAGGTGAGACACAGTAACAGAATATCCTGTGCTGGAGACCCCCAGGGATCCCAACTCCTGGCCCTGCCCAGGACACCCCAGCAATCCCACCCTGTCCCTGAGAGCATTGTCCAAAACACTCCTTGAGTTCTGGCAGCCTTGGGGCTGTGACCGCCGCCCTGGGGAGCCTGGTCAGTGCCCAGCCACCCTCTAGGGGAAGAACCTTTTCCTGATATCCAGCCTAACCCTCCCCTGACACAGCTCCAGCCATTCCCTCAGGTCCTGTCGCTGGTCACGAGAGAGAAGCTGCACACCCCAATGAGGTCTGACCTCAGTCTCCTCCAGCTGAACGGACCAAGTGCCCTCAGCCCCATCTTGTGTGGCCCCTCCAGGCCCTTCCCCATTCCCACATCCCTCCTTTGGACACTCTCTTTTAAATCTTTTTTCCATATTGTTGGTTCCCAAAACTGCCCCCAGTGCTCGAGGTGAGGCCACCCCAGTGCAGAGCAGAGGGAGGGTCACCTCCCTCTCCAGCCAAGGGACGAGGCAGCTCCCACATGTGCCAGGAGTGCCAGCAAACACTGGGGGGGTTGGCTGTGGCTGCTGCCCCTCGCTCCTGGGGTGGGAGCCTGATAACCAGTGCTCCTTGCTCATGTTTCCCTGGCTTCCAGAGCTCGGAGTTCAACATCTTGGTGATCGGCGTGCCCAACATGGGCAAATCCTCGCTCATCAACTCCCTGCGGAGGCTACACCTCAAGAAGGGTATTTCTCCGGGGTGCTGGGGCTCGGGGAAGAGGTGGGGCACAGTGTCCCTTGCTTCCATGACCATGTCTTCTTTTCCACCAGGGAAAGCCACAATGGTGGGGGCCGAGCCAGGCATCACCAAGGCAGTGCTGACCAGGATCCAGGTACTGTCCCTGCAGCACAGTGGCTGGGTGGGCTCTGCCTCCCGCATCCTGGAGAGACCTCAGTGCCCACAGAGCTTATCTCAGGGTTGCTCAGGTCGCCTTTCCAGCAGGACCTTAATACAAGCTTGTTAGGCACGTGGGAGTCTGTGGTGCTGCTTACCAGCCCTGCCTCCCCCAGGTCTGCGAGAAGCCCCTGATGTACCTGGTGGACACCCCTGGCGTGCTGCCCCCGAAGCTGGGGGATGTGGAGACGGGCATGAAGCTGGCACTGTGTGGTGAGGTGGAGGCTGCGGCTGGGGGGAGTGCCTGAGGCTGGGGTTGGAGTCTGCTGCTCAGGGCTCCTGGGTGACACGGGAATGGCAGGAGGCTTGGCCAGCACTCAGCAAGGGCTGGGGGTAACTGGGCCTTGACCCTCTTTTCCAGGAGCCATCCACGACCACATGGTGGGGGAGGACATCATGGCCGACTACCTGCTGTACACTCTGAACAAGCAGCAGCAGTTCGGGTGAGCTGGGGGGGAGCTGGGGAGGGGTCCCGGGAGGGCTGTGGAGCCACCATCCCCGGGGAATTGCTGTGGGGAGCATGGGGTGTGAGCCGTCCCTCCGGCAGGTACGTGCAGCGCTACGGGCTGGGCGAGCCCTGCGACCACATCGAGTCCGTGCTGAAGCGCGTGGCCCTCGCCCAGGGCCGCACGCAGAAGGTGAAGGTGCTGACAGGCACAGGTGAGTGCCTGGGGGGCTCTGAGGCACAGGGGCTGGGAGTCTGGGGGTCCCTGCTGCCCCTCCTTCTGCACCCGCTGCCATCTCCAGGGAATGTCAACGTGACGATGCTCGACTACACGGCCGCCGCCTATGAGTTCCTGCGGGACTTCCGAGCAGGACACCTGGGCAGGTTAACACTGGACTGAGACCTGTCCCGTGGGGGAGAGGCACTGCCTGCAGCCGTGTGGGCAGGGGACACCCCAGTGCCACCTCAGTAGGGAACTCTGGTGTGTGACTGAAGAGGCTCTGCCAGGGCAGCTCCTGATTCCTGGCAAGGGGCCAGAGGGACAAGATGCCCACGGTGGCAGCTGAGGCTGCCCTGTGGCGTGCCCACCCCAGAGGCAGGGCTGGTGCCTCCAGCTGGGACAAAATCCCTGGGAAGCCGTTTCTTTGTGCTTGCTTGGCCTGCTCAGGGACCTCAAAATAAAGCCTTTGTGGGCAGGGGGCCAGGCGGTGGCCATCCCAAGGTCCCGCCCAGAGCCCCCCATCCCGCATGCAGCCACACCTGCTTTCGTCCAGCTTTATTGTCGCCTCCTCGTCCTCGCGAGGCCAGGGACAGAGGCGCGGTGCGAAGGGGTGCCCGAGCCGGCGGGGTTTGGCACGGCGTGGGGAGGGAGGTGGTGGAGGGGCTCCCGCGGGGGTCCTGCCCCGCTGGCGGTGGGTGGGCACAGCCCCAGGAGCTGCTGCTATCCCGGGGCGCGGGGCTTAGCCCCCGGTGGGGCTGCGGGTCCTCGCGGCGTCCTGGGTGCTCCGGGCACGGTGGGGTCCCCCGGTGTCCATCAGCGGCGGAGGAGCGCGGCCAGCGGGCAGAGCCAGGGCAGCGCCCGGCCCGGCGCGGTCCCGGTGGGCGCAGAGGAGGTCCAGGCGCTGGCGGCCGCCGTCCAGTTGCCGTCGCGGTACTCGACGCCGTCCGCCGCCTGCAGCTCCCCGGAGAGCCGCGCCCGGCGCAGGGCCGCCCCCGCCGCCACGCCGGCCGCCGCCCCCGCCGCCGCCGCCCCGGCCACGCGCAGGGCGGCCCCGGCAGAGCCGTACCGGGGCACGGCCGCCCTGGGCCGGGCGCGGGCCGCCCCCCGCGCCGCTCCGCGGGCCGCCCCCCGGGCGCCGCCGCGCCCGCCCTTGCCCGCCGCCGTGTCGCAGAAGGCGGCGGCCAACAGCACCAGCGCCCAGCACGCCGCCGCGCTCCGCCGCATCCCGCACCTGCCGCAGGGACGGAGGGAGCGATGGAGGCAGAGCCCCGCCGCTCAGCCGCGCCCGGGGGGGCCGCGCGCGGCCGCGTCTCGCTCCCGCGGGTGCCGGGGCCGCGCACGCCCGTGTCACCGCACACGCGGCCGCGCACGGGTTGCATAAACGCGCTCCCCCCCGCCCGGGTGGGTGATGCTCCTGCACATGCTCCTGCACACGCAGCCACACGCGCGCTCCCGCACGACCGCGTGGGGGATGCTCCCCTCGAGACCCCTGCGGGTGGCGTTCCCGCGCGCGCCCGCACACGCACATTCCCGCACGCCCGTGTGGATGACGCTCCTGCACATTCCCGCACGCCCGTGTGGATGATGCTCCTGCACACTCCCGCACGCTCGTTAGGGATGATGCTCCCGCACACCCGCGCACGTCCCTGCGGATGACGGTCCCACACATTCCCGCACACCCGTGTGGATGATGCTCCCGCACATTCGTGCGGATGATGTGCCTTTTCATTCCCGCACGCCCCCGTGGACGATGCTCCCGCACAGCCATGTGGATGATGTTCCTTTACATTCCCGCACACCCGTGTGGATGATGCTCCCGCACATCCGCGCACACCCTTGTGGATTATGTTCCTGTACAGCCCCGCACAGCCGCGTGGATGATGTTCCTCTACATTCCCGCACAGCCCTGTGGATGATGCTCCCGCACACCCGCGCACTCGCGGCCGCGGGGCACACTCACCCCCCACGCCCTCCCCACCCGGGGTACTCACCGGGCCCGGGGCACCGCCGGCTCGTTCCGCTCCGCTCCGCTCCTCCCCGGCCGCGCTCCCGCCGCCGCCACCGCCGCCGCCGCGCTCTCGCCGCGCCCCCCCGCACACCCCCCACCCCACGCGCGGGGGGCGGCGGGGGAACCCCCCCTGCTCTCCCCCGCGGCGCTCTAAGCCCCGCTAATCCCGCGGCCCCCCTGGCTCGGCGGCGCTGCCGGCGGGACCCCCCGCGGGCCGGGCTGGGGGCGGGCCCTGCGCCCCCTCAGCGCTACCGGGGGTCCCGACCCCGCCCCGCGGCCGCGGCCAATGGGAATGCAGAGCGGCGGGGCGGGGCCGCCTCGGCCAATGGGCTGTGGCGGGAGGGGCGTGGCAGCCGCGGCGGGCGGGGCCGCTCCTCCGCGCTCCGCCATGGCCGCCGCTTTGCGAGCGCTCCTCCGGCCCGCCGCCGCCGCGCTGCCCCTGGCGCGGCCCCTACCGCCGCTCCGCAACCCCGCCGGCACCCGGGGCTGCAGCGCTGGTGAGCATCGGAGCACGGGGAGGGCACCGGGGGCTGAGGGGGGGTGGGCTTGGCCGGGGCCGGGGTTGGGAGTGAGCACCGGGTCCCTGCACCTGGCTCGGTCCCAGCACCGGGCGGTGTGCCCAGCAGCTTGCACGTGGTCCCTGGGCTGCGCACCAGGACGGGGTCCCTGCTCCGTGTACGGTCTCCCGGCACCGGGCGCGCGGTCCCGGGGCCGTGCGGCCGGTCCCGGGGTGCCTTCGCCATGCCCCGGTACAGGTGGCTCGCCGTCCCGGCACGGGGTGGTCCAAGGGCTGCACCTGCTCGGGGCACGGTGACACCGGCAGCTCCCCCGAGCCGAGCCCCGCGGCGACGTCCCGCCGGCTGCCGGTGACCGCTGGCGTGAAGGTCGCCTTAAAAATAGCGCAGGGCGGCGGCCGGAGGTTGCCGGGGGTTGTCAGGGGTCTCACCCCGTGCCCAGCAGCCGGTGGGTTCACGGGCCGGTGCCGGGGCGGCGGCAGGGTCCACGTTCCAGTACCTGTTGGTGCAGAAGACGGGGGCGCAGAAGAACGTCGGGCTGATTCAGCTGAACCGGCCACAGGCGCTGAACGCGCTCTGCGAGGGGCTGATGACCGAGCTGCGGCAGGCGCTGGAGGCCATGGAGAGTGACCCGCAGGTGGGAGCCATCGTCCTCACCGGCAGCCAGAAAGCCTTCGCAGGTAGGGCGGGGCCTCTCCCCACCCCAAAATTTTGGGGAAGCGGGGGGGAGTTGGTGTCCCAGGCCACTCTCCTTTGCAGCTGGCGCAGACATCAAGGAGATGCAGAATAAAACCTTCCAGGAGTGCTACAACGGCGGCTTCCTGGGCGGGTGGGACAAGGTCTCCGTCGTCCGCAAACCCATCATTGCCGCTGTCAACGGCTATGCCGTGAGTGCCCCCCGCCTCTCCCTGTACCCCCTGGCCCCCCAGTGCCACCCCCTGACCCTGCTGTGCTACCCCCGTCCCAGCTGGGTGGCGGGTGCGAGCTGGCCATGATGTGCGACATCATCTACGCCGGGGAGAAGGCGCAGTTCGGGCAACCCGAAATCCTGCTGGGAACCATCCCAGGTGAGCAGAGGTCACCGGCCAGGGGGTTCCATCCCGGCTGGAGTTGGGGACACCCAGCTATCCCTCTCTGGACCTTCCCCTTCCCAAAATGCATCCAGGTGCCGGCGGGACGCAGAGGCTCACCCGGGCAGTGGGGAAATCGCTGGCCATGGAGATGGTGCTCACCGGGGACCGGATCTCGGCAGCGGAGGCCAAGGAGGCAGGTAGGGGCGTGGGCCAGCCCTGGCGCTGCAGGGGGCCAGCAGGGAGCCATCCCCCCACTTCCCACTGCCCATCCTAGGTCTGGTCAGCAAGGTGTTCCCCGTGGAGAAGCTGCTGGACGCGGCCATCGCCTGCGCTGAGAAGATCGCCAGCAACTCCAAGCTGGTGGCCGCCATGGCCAAGGAGTCGGTCAACGCTGGTAGGGACTGGAGGGCCAATTGGGAACCCCTTGTGGGGGGGCTGCAGGGCCAGACAGAGGGGTCTCCCCAACTTCTCCCTTGTTCTCAGCCTTTGAGACGACGCTGACAGAGGGGAACAGGACGGAGAAGCGTCTCTTTTATGCCACCTTTGCCACCGTAAGTAGAGGGATCTGCCCCAAGGCCAGGGGGATCGGCCCCATGGTGGGGAGATAGCGGGGCTGCCACAGCTCCCCAAACCTCACCTCTCTGCTCCTCCCAGAATGACCGCAAGGAGGGGATGACAGCCTTCGTGGAGAAGCGCAAGGCAAAATTCACCGACAGCTGAGCCTGAGGAGCTGCAGGTCCCCGGGAGTGTGCAGGTCCCTTGGGATGTGCAGGTCACCGGGGATTTGCAAATCCCCAGAGTGGTGCAGGTCCCCACAGCCACCTGCTGCCCATCTGCCCTCTGCCTTACCCCGTGGAGTGGACCGGGACCCGTCGGCAAGCGATGCTTGGGGTGACAACCAGCAGTGGGGACCACCTCTGCCTTTGCTATTAAAACATTTTCTAGGTGCTGCTGGGACATGGGGCGTCCTTCTCTGAGGTTCTGCCTCAGCTGGGAAAGGTTTGGGTTCATTGAGACCCCCCACTCTGTCACACTGCTCTCTGACGCTGGGCTGGGCAAGAGCAGACTCGTGGAAGTGCGTGTGTTCCCCGGGAGGGGGACAGCCTGTGGCACTGAATCACCCATCCCAGGGCATCATCCTCACCCTGCTCGGGGTCTTGGGGCGATCCCAAGGAGGGGGATCCCTCAGGTTTAGGGCCCTGTACTTAGCAGCAGGTTTCTGGCAGCAATGAGGAGCCCACCAGGACATGGAGAGGAGTGGGTTTATTGGGGGCAGGAGGGGCTCAAGGGTGGGTAGGGAGGGATGAGTCCCCCCATGAAGCCCCAGGGGTGGCTCCCACCCCTCAATTCACAGCCTGGGCACATCTGCACTCAGCTGTGGTACAGATGGTCACGGTCCTCCTCTGGGCCATTCTGGACGGGCAGGGACAGCATCCGGGGCGGCTCACGGATATCCATCTCCCTGGCATCGTCCTGGGGGTGGCGGAGGTGATCTCGATCCTCCTCTGGCTCTGCCTGGACTTGTGGGAGGTGCCAGTACCTTCTGGACACAGCCTTTCTACCCGGTTTCACCTCTTCAGGAAGCTCACGCTCCTCCAGCACATCCACACCAGGGATGCTGGAAGAGGGGAACAAAATCAGTGAGGAAAGGTTGCTAAATACCACCCTGCCCCAGGGGAATTCCAACCTGTCGGAGGGCAGGGACCCTGGCAAGATTTCCCTCCACTCCAGGAAGCAGAAATTATATCTTGGGCAGCAAATGGGCTAATTTGGACAAAGGAATAGGGAAACCAGCTAGGGCTAGATGGCTGGGGAGTTTGGGCAATATGGGAGGGAAGGTGGAGCTTGAGAGCCTCTTAATTTTGAAGGGGCACAAAGCCCAAGGGGAATTTATTTCCCCCTGAAACGCTTTCCATTTTGGGGTGTTGCTCTGCTGGCTTTTACAAGCCTGAAGGTGCGGGGAGCACATCCAGCTCTTACATTTCCTTGTCCAAATCCCGGTGCGCGTGCAGGCCCTTCCGCCCGGAGCTGCTCAGAGCCTGCAGGGAGAGAGGGGGGTGGCACTGGTCATGGGTGGGCCTGCTCATCAGAGGGGACAGCAGGAGGGTGAGGCAGAGGGGGGGCTCACCTGGGTGCTGCTGGGTGCCAGCAGCAGGAGGGCAGTGCCCAGCAGGACGGCGATGCTGCAGAGCCTCGGGCTGAAGCAGAGACACAGTGGCAAGAGCCGTGTGGCCGGTGCTGCTCCGCGCCCTGCACCCAGTTCCTGTGCCCCCCGCTCCTCCCTGACCCCCAGCACCCACCCTGCCCATCCCCTGTGCCCTCTGGGCTGGCAGGACCTACCCCTCCATGGCTGCCTCTCACCACACCTGGCTGTGCCCTTTGCCCGCCCGGCCCTCGTGTCCCTGGGTGGTGCCAGTTCGTACTGCTCAGGGAGACTCCCAGCTGTCCCAGAAAGGTGGTGGCCTCTTGCTCTGGGGGGAGCTGCAGGGGAGACCCTCTCTGACCTCTCTGCTGGCGCAGGTGCCCAGTTCCTGCGTGTCCCAGGCTCAGCTGTGACCCTTCCCTTTGCTTCTCCATCACGGGATCCGCCTCCACCACACCACTTCAGCTCTCCTGCAACAGGAGCGAAACGGGTGATTTGGGGGCTTTCATCCCCCAAATGTTTCCCAATGCATTTTTTTTTTTTCCCCAGAAGTTGGAAGTGTGAATGAATCCAAAGCTTCTCCCCAGTTGTGATGGGTTACACCTTGTTTCCGTCAATTCTCTGTGTGTGTTAAAAAGGAAAATGAAAGGGAATTCAAATTTTGCCTTGAAAGAAGGATTTTTTCCCAGCTGGGACAGACTTCATTGCCCATGGACTCTGGGAAAAGCTGGTGGCCCAGAAGAGAGCCAGTCACGAGGCCTGAGGGTGTAATTGCAATTTCAGTTTGTTTTCCATTAGCAAGGCACGGCACTCGGGGGAAAAAGGAATTCCCAGGTCAAAACTTGTGGACCTGAACCCGTAAGGGAGGGTTGGGCTGCTCCTGCCTGACCTTTGAGCCATCACGTGCCAAAGCCTGCAGGCATCTCCAGTGACCTGTGGCCTGATTCCCCGTCCCAGCTATCCCAGTAGGGGGGAAAAAAAAAAACCCTCATTAGGGGCTCCCAGTGTGGGAAAATAATTTTTGGTCCCTGCTGAAAGATGTCCCTGGGCAGATAGGGGATCCTGGCCGGGGGGTTTGCCTGCTGGAGACAGCACTCCAGGAGCAGGGATTAAGGCTGGACAAGCCGGCTGAGTTTTAAACAGAGCGAAGCTTTTTAAAACTCACTGGGAAATCTCCTGCATCTCCGTAAACATCATTCCCTGCTCCCATTTGCAAGGATTTTTTCAAAGCCCCTTTTATCCTCTATTCCTCACACAGAGGGGGGAAGGGAAAAAAATGCAATTATAGATCCTAAGCTTCTTGGATAAACATCGTTCCAGAAACCTCTTTTTTCCCTTTATGGACAAATTTTCAGTGTCAGGGTTCACCAGGACCCCCAGACCAGTGGCAGCACTCTGAGCCTGGCTCTGTGGTTTCCATTTTTCCCAGGAGGACGAGATTACAAAGGAAGGGAGAGGCAAGAGGGAAAACTTCAATCCCAAACTGATTTTTCGGGATTATTGGAGCAAAAGGAGGCAGGTTCATTCTGCACATCTGCCTTCGAAATACCATTTAAACTATCTATTAAGCAATTTTATAAAAATTCCTTTTATTTATTCCTCTGGCTGAAGTCATTTTATTTTAACTCTCCATGGAAACGCTTCTTCTGGGCCAGACAAACCTTTCCTGTGGGTTCCATAGCAAGAGCTGGGATGCAGAGGAGACTTCAGCGAGATGGAGAAGGTCAGGATTAAGGACCAACACTTTTTTTGCCCTGGTTTGTTTTTACACAGCTTCCAGAACACAGTCAGCAGATTTTGTCTTGGAATTTCCTTGAATCTGGTTTTTGGCTCCAAAAGGCACAAAAATAAAACACCCAATCCTGTGCAGCCTCAGCTTCAGGAGGGTTTCCTTAACACCTCGCCACGCATTCTGGGCTCCCCTTCCTAAAATCTTGAGGATTCTTAACTCAGTCAGGTTGGTCCGATTCCATCTGACATCACAAACCCGTGTTCAAGTGCTGGTGGAGCTTTAATTGGTTTGGGTGGCTTATTCCCAGCGAGGAGTGGGAACTGGAAGTATCCCTGCTCAGCCATGGCGTGGGCGGCACCGGCCCCACATCTGCTCATCCCGCACAAATCTGCTGCACTGACCTTCAGACTTTCTTCCTTGGTCCTTTAAATCCTCGGGTGGCACCTTGTCCAAAGCAAATTGTGGATGGGATCCTGGAAAGGGAGACAGGCTTTAATCCACATTAACAGCCTATCCCTCACGGGGGTGCTCTGTGTCGCATTTTAAGCTCCCAGAGTGGAAAGAGCAGGACATTAAATCATCAAAGCAATAAAAAAAAAAAAAAAAAAAAAAAAAAAAAAAAAAAAAAAAAAAAAAAAAAAAAAAAAAAAAAAACAACGGGTGAAATCCCGATTTGCTTTCCTGTGTATTCTGAACATTCCTGTTCTGGAGGCCCCTCCCCTTTTTCCAACCACATTGCAAGTGTTACCAAACATAGTAACTGGCCAGTTGCAGTGGCTGATTGTGAGGAGCAGGAGAGCAGAAGCAGCATCCTGCAATACCCCGGGAAGAGACCCTGGGTGGGCAGACCAACAGGACCTTGCCAACACTTCAGTGGCCTGTTCTGCCCTTCCACACTTCCCTCTTTTTAAAAAATGCCTTTGAAAACACACATGGAAGGAACTCCTGCCTCGTTTATCTTCAGCACAGGGACACACTGAGCACTGCAAAGGGCTGATAAGACTCTCTGTCCCGTGGAGGCCAAAGCACCAGACCTGGACTTGTAGAGCCGTTTCTCTGGCAGCAAGGGGACAGGGCTGGCTGCAGGCTGAGGGATCTCCATGTCCTCGCCAGGCCCTGTTTCCATGGGGTCCGGCTGGAGTTGCTCCGCCGTCTCCACGCTCACCTCCATGGGCACGCTGGGGCCCTGCTCCGTGGGACAGCTCGTGTGCTTGGGGACACTGCAGGGACACAGTTTGACACCCTGGCTCAGTGGCTGCCATGTAAGCCCAGAGCCAAGGATATTTCATGAGGAAACAAGTCCAGCTGGGATGAGTTGGTGCATGCAGGCACAGGGATTTGGCTCCAGAGCAAGAGGCTTGCATGAGTTTCTATTTAAGTATCCATTACTTAATGAATATACAGCACACAGCTCTGTCCCCAAGTCCTTCTCTTCACTCCATAAAGCCTAAGTCATTCCACAGGCTCAATTCCCTGAGGACTGTCCTTTAGCTGACCTACTGATGCCATAGATGACCCATTACCTTTTCATCCCTAGCTGGGATGAAATCCTGAAGGGGTTGGCAGTTTCTTTTTTCCCCCAAAGCCAAGCCACTCTGCTCTCCCCTCCTCAACATGCTGCTCCCTCAAGTGTTGGGAACAGGACACATTTCACTCATAATCACAGAAGGGTTTGGGTTGGAAGGGACCTTAAAGCTCATCTCATTCCACCCCCTGTCATGGGCAGGGACACCTTCCACCAGCCCAGGTTGCTCTAAGTCCTGCCCAACCTGGCCTTGGACACTTCCAGGGATGAGGCAGCCACAGCTTCTCTGGGCAACCTGTGCCAGGGCCTCCCCACCCTCACAGGGAATAATTTTTCCTAATATCCCATCTAAACCTCCTCTATTTCATTTTGAAGCCATTCCCCCTTGTCCTGTCACTCCAGGCCCCTGTAAATAGTCTCTCTCTGTGTTTCTTGCAGGCTCCCTTCAAGCCCTGGAAGGCCACAATCAGGCCACCCCAAAGCTTCCCTTCTCCAGGTTGAACAATCCCAACTCTCCCAGCCTTTTCCTGTGGGAGAGGAGGAAAGTTCTGCAGTTACCTTTTCACTTTCTTGGGTCTGTCAAACCGAAAGTCAGCAGGGTAAAGGTGCACGGTCACCAAGTGATCCTTCCTGTCCTTGCTGCTCTTGAACTTCTCCGGGCAGCCTTCCACCAAACACTTGTACTGAAAGGCAAGGAGTGGGGGAAAAAGGACCTAACTGGAAGAGGCAAGTGCGCTCCAGCCCCGAGCCCAGGGCTGGGCACGGCAACTCACCATGTTCTGCTTCTCAGCCATGATCTGGAAGAGAGAGTCGTGCCACTCCAGGATGTGGATATCCAGGAGGTTCCCCGAGGGGAAGGAGCGCTTGCAGAAGGAGCAGACGTTCCTGTGCAGGGCGTTGTAGTGGTGCTCGTAGCCTTCCAGCGTGTCAAACACCTGGCAGCACCCGGAGATGTGGCAGCTGAACTCGGACACCCTGCGGGGAAATCGGGACAGCCGCGCCTCGAGCTGAATTAGAGCCTCAGGGTCAGCTGAAAACGGCCCTCCAGGTGACCTTGGCACGGAATCCCAGGATGGTTTGGGTCGGAAGGGACCATAAAGACCATGCAGTCCAACCCCCCTGCCCATGGGCAGGGACACCTTCCACCACATCAACACTAGTGGCGTTTTTTATGAGTAACAAATTAAATGCCAGGTGCAATGGAACTGAGATCATGGTGGTGCTGGCAGTTACAAACTTATGTGCCACTGGAAACTTGTTGGTGATTATCATAGGATCACAGAATCAACCAGAATTGGAAGAGTTCAGAAAAGACCTCCAAGATCATCAAGTCCAACCCTCGATCCAATCCCACCGTGGTTCCCAGACCATGGCACCGATGCCACATCCAGTCTCATCTTAAACACCTCCAGGGAAGGTGAATCCACCACTTCCCTGGGCAGTCCATTCCAATGTCTGATTACTCTCATTTCATTACTCTTATTTGTCATTATGCCCTCGGGATCATCTCTATTATCATCCTGTCAAGTGGTGCTTTGGTGAATAATAAACAAGGCAGTAATGTGATAGATAAGCTGTCTGACCCTAAAGTCGCGGTTATGGATGACCAGTGCTTTTTTAACAGGTATCCACTGGAAAAACCTCTCACAACACTCAGAGTACTTCCTCGATTTTACACACAAAAAAGCAAGGCAAAGATTCTGTCCCAGGTTTAGCCTTCCTAGTCGGAGCTGCCCCAGCTGCAGTTGCCCAGAGGGGCTGTGGATGTCCAAGATCAGTTCAAGACCAGCTTGGACGGGGCTTGGAGCAACCTGGGCTAGCGGAAGGTGTCCCTGCCCACGGCAGCGGGTGAAAGCGGATGAGCTTTAAGGTCCCTTCCCGCACAAACCACTCTTTGACTCCACGGCTCAGGGCTGGCGACGAGTCCCCGTCTCACTTACTTGGGTCTCTCGGCCACATCCTCGAGGCTGGAGAGGACGCCCTGCAGGTAGAGGTGCCTGTGCACGTCCCCGTCCTAGAGGGGAGCAGAGAGGGCCGTGGGCGGGCGGGCAGGGCCCTCAGACACCGCGCCGACCCCCCGGTGCTGCGGCGGGGGGAGCCTCACCTCCAGCAGCGGGTGCTGCGGGCCGAGGCGGAGGCGGCGGGGGGTGAAGGTGAAGGGCGGCAGGGGCTGAGGGGGCTGCCGGGGGGGTTCCGGGGGGGGTTCCCTGGCGGGGTCCTGCGGGGTCCCCTCACGGAGCCGCCGGAGCAGCCCCGGCGGCAGCGGCAGCGCCGCCATGGCGGGCCGGGCACTGCGCGTGCGCGCAGCCAGGGACGCGCTTCCCGGCGCCCGCGGCGGCACTTCCGGGAGGGACAGGTAGGGATGGGATGGAGCGGGATTGGGATGGGATTGGGATGGGATGGGATTGGGATGGAGCAGGGCGGGATGGGATGGAGCGGGGTTGGCGGGGGGGGGAGGGCTGAGGCGCTGCCCAGGGCCCGCTCCGGGCGATCTGCCGTGGGGCGCAGCGGGACCCGATCCCGCTCCCATTCCAGCCGCTCCCGCAGCCACTCCAGCCTAAACAGCACCCCGACCTTGGCAAACCGGGAGCGTGTCCGTGTGCCTGATCTGTGGATCCGCGCTGTGCCTGCCTGACACAACCTGTGCAGGGTGTTGTTGCATTAAACTCCCGGGTTGTTGTGGCGATGCCTCGCTCGGACTCTCCCGTGTCAGCATCAAAGTTATCACTGAAGTAGCTCTGCAGAATTCCCAACTCCCCGCCCTTCCCCGTGTCCCGCAGGCCGAGGGGGGAGCATGAACGAGTTCCGGATCCACCACGACGTGAACGAGCTGCTGAGCCTGCTGCGGGTGCGCGGCGGGGAGGGCGCCGAGGTCTACATCGACCTGCTGCAGAAGAACCGCACGCCCTATGTCACCACCACCGTGTCCGCCCACGGCGCCAAGGTCGGCACCCCCTCCCGGGGATGGGCTGGAGGAGGGGATCGCGCCCACCATCAGCAGATTTGCGGATGTCACCAAGCTGGGGGGGGAGTTGCTGGAGGGCAGGAGGGCTCTGTAGAGGGACCTGGACAGGCTGGAGGGTTGGGCTTATTCCAGCCCCAGGGATGAGGTTCAGCAAGTGCCGGGTCCTGCGATTTGGCCACAGCAAACCCTTGCGGCCCCACGGGCTGGGGATGGAGTGGCTGGAGAGAAAGGGACCTGGGGGGTGCTGGTGACAACAGCTGAGCAGGAGCCAGCAGTGTGCCCAGGTGGCCAGGAAGGCCAGTTGATCCTGGCCTGGATCGGGAATTGTGTGGCAGCAGGAGCAGGGAAGTGATTCTACCCCTGGACTCAGCCACTCCTGGAGTGCTGTGCCCAGCTCTGGGCCCCTCAGTTCAGGAGGGATATTGAGGTGCTGGAGCAGGTCCAGAGAAGAGCAACGAGGCTGGTGAAGGGTCTGGAGCACAAGTCCTGTGAGAAGCAGCTGAGGGGGGCTCAGCCTGGAGAGGAGGAGGCTCAGGGGAGACCTCATCACTCTCTGCAACTCCTTCATGACCAGGCATACTTCTATGACCATAATGCTGCTTTTCATTGTTGCTTTTAAAAGCAATCCACCAGTCAAGCTCCAAGTGCTACAAAATTGCTAATTCTGTCTGAAAGTCTTCGTCTCTGTAGCCTGAGCTGCACGTTTGCTCCAATTCAATTTCATTTTACTTGTAATCGATAATAATGTGGTGTTTTACAGGTAAAAATAGCAGAGTTTACTCGAACTCCTGAAGATTTCTTAAAGAAGTACGATGAGCTGAAGTCTAAAAACACGAGACATCTGGATTCTTTAGTTTACCTGCTGTCAAAACTCACTGAAGACAAAGAGGTTGGTGTCTCCTTAAGAAATGGGTGTTGAACAGTAGCAGCAGTGCAATGATTTTGAGCACAGCTGATGGTGAAATCCGTAGAAATCAACAAATAACCACTTCTAGAATTATTAAAGCACTACTGAGAATTACACCGCTCTTGATATAATCCATGGAAAACTGGGACAGAGAGATCTGTGGTGGGATTCAGCACAACAAGCTTATGGTCATGTGGTTTTTGCTTCAGTGTGTGCTGTCCAGCACTCACAAAATCTTTCCTTTCTTTTTTGTGTATGTACAGACACTCCACTACCTGCAACAAAATGCTAAAGAAAGGGCAGAACTCGCAGCAAATGCAGCAACCAGCAGCACCACCACAAATTTTTCCGTCCCCTCGTCTGCTTCCAAGATGTCCATGCAGGAGCTCGAGGAGCTACGGAAGCAGCTGGGCAGTGTCACAGCCAGTTCCAGTGCACAGCAGGTACAGAGCTCTTCCCAAGCTTTGGGCACAAAATCCTCCTTTCTGTTAGGCAGATCATATTGAATCTGGGTGCTATTCTTAATAAAAAGTGGGCCCTTCTCTTTTTCAGTCAGTTAAGGTCAAGTTCCTTAAGGTTATTCTAAGGTTAAATTCACAGTTAAACTCTTCCCTGTGAGGGGCGGCGGGGGGTGCTCAGGGCCTTTGAGTTATTAAGGGCTGGGACAGGAGGGCATTCCTTGGAAGGAGCTCTGCTCAGCCACTGCCATGGGGAGCCTGTTTGAATGATTAACCACTCTTTCAGTGAAGAAATTCTTCCTAATATCCAACCTAAACCTCCCATGGTACAGCTTGAGGCCGTTCCCCCTTGTCGTGTCGCTTGTTGCCTGGGAGAAGAGGTCCCTCCCAACCCAAACTTCACATTTCTCCATAATAAAGTCCTGTTTCTGTTAGGGGAGCTGAGGAAATTGGGGTCCTTCCAGCAGATCACCCACACAGGGTGTAAATAGGAAAGTAAATTGAACCTGTGCATGTCCCATTACACACGCACACATCTGTGGGGTTTAAGAAATGGCCTTTGTAAGCCCTGTGTTTGTGCTCTTGGGGCTCAAAGTGTTCACGTAGGTTGTGCATCTCACAAGCCTCTCCAGCTGATAATTGATCTTGCACTCCTTTTAATTTAGTGTCAGAGACCCAGAGCTGGGGGTGGAAAGTCTTTCAGTCTCTAAGAGCTCACTTCCTTCACTGACTCCTACTCAGAGTGAAAAACTCCATCATTTTCTCTGTGGGTGGATTGTCTGGGTTGCATTTGGCACTGAGTTCAGAGGTGTTCAGTGCCCCTGGAGTAGGATGTTTGTGCTTACTGCTTCTGGAAGGAGTTTGCTGCTTTCCTGTAACCACTGTCCATTTCTGCTTGAAATTAAAAATTCCTTGGCCTACTGATAGTCTCCTGGTTTTTTTTTTTCCCCTTCTCTCTCCCTCTCTCTTTTTCCAACAGCCTCTTGAGCTGACACGAAAGATCCTCCGAGAAAAGCAGAACAAGAAGAATTCTGGTCAGCCCATTCCAGTGTTTCCATCCTGGGTGTATGAGAGACCTGCACTGCTTGGGGATTTCTTAATTGGCACCAGTTTAAGCACTGACACAACAGTACCAATAGGTATGTGATACACAGAGAAAGCTGCACTAACTCGTAGTGGTTTGTACTCGCTCGGAAGCTGTTCAGAGGTTCCCACTCAGGATGGAAGCTGAACCTGGCTCCTTGCACCCTTCAGGTGAAGAGCAGGTTCAAAAAACCCGAAATATTAACCCAAACTTACTTTGTTCACTATGCTGAATTCCCACTCCATGGGATCTAATCCTTTTTCTCTCTTGAGTCACTGCCTCCATAAAATGCAACTGTAGGAGTATCACATCTACATTCTCGGCTGAAAATGTTGTAGCTGTGCCTGACAAGGGAATATTCATCAGTCCAAAAAACTCCTAAGGCTGTAACAACCTCCCTGATTGTTACCTTGGTTCATGAGATGAGCTTTGCTGTAGTTGGAGTCACTCTGCTCCCTGATCTTCTGATGCACTTGATTTTATATATATATATATATATATATATTAAAGGACTTGGGTCCTTTATACTGCTTGCAGCTGGTTTGCAGTTGACTGCACCATTCAGAGACTCCACAGTTCGTAGCTCACCTGCAGCTTTTGCTGGGCTGGCATTTCTTCGTGTCTGCATTTGAGCTGGTCTCTTGACATTTGAATCTTTCAGTGGAGGGGAGCTCTGGGAAGTTGCTGATGAGAATGGAACTCCTTGGGTCCAGTATAACCGAGCCCTTTAGGGCGGAAGGATCAGCAGCACGAGCTGTGGGTGGTGTTCTCTGGGCACAGGTGCTGGATGTGTAGCAACCCCCTGTCTGCTGGGATTGCTTTGGGCATGAATGAGCAAAGGGTTGTTTTCCCAGAAAGCAAGGTGGATTGTCTTGGAGTTGACCCAAACTCAGTTTTATTTCCCTACACCCTGATGTGGTTTTGTGTGATGTCCCTTTGCTCTCTTTGGGGTTTTGTGTCCCTTCCAGGCTGGAGGTACGAGAATGAAATGAGTGGATGGTCGGGTTGGCACGTCCTGACTGTGCCCCTTTTCCACCCTCTCTTTGGACACAGGTACTTTGCCGCTGGCTTCCCAGGAATCCGTGATTGTGGAGGACTTGCTGTATGTCCTGATTGGCGTGGATGGGAGGTACATCACAGCACAGCCTCTCGTGGGCAGGCAGAACAGAGCCTTCTCAGTCGATCCCAACTTGGACTTGTCCATCAAGGAGCTGGTGACCAGGATTCTTCCTGTGGCAGCGAGTTACTCTGCTGTCACCAGGTACCCAAGCTGCTTTTTGTCAGAGGAGGAGGTTCTCCCTTGAGCATAAGGAATCTGTCATGCTGCAACTGTTAACTTCCAAGCTTAATTTAAACCTGTGGGGATATAAGATGAGTGACAATTTATTTGGGTTGATTTTAGCTACATTTCCTTGTGCTGGGTCTTTCCTTTGTGCTGCCAGTTTGCTTTTTCGTTCCCACGCCTTTGTTTTTTTTTCCAGACTTGACCTTGTAAATTAAGGCCAAGTGCAATTGGGATCTGCTCAACTACTCTGGCTTGTCTCTTCCCGTTAATTCCTCCACGCTTTCCTGCTTTTTGCTCTCCTCTGGGCATCCAGGACTAGACAACCTTTGTGCGACTCTGAGCAGGGGAACCTACTCTTCTCACAGCTACCTTAAGTAGTTGTCGGAAGGTCTTGGCATAAGGTGCCCCTCCCTAACAGCAGCTGTTTGCTGTGCAGTTTCTGCATTTGCTTCAGAGTCCCTAAAAGATCAGCAAAGAAAAGAGAAGCATTTTTAGGAGGTGACTCATCCAACCTCCTCTACATATCTCCTTCCAGATGATATGCCTTGTGTTCAGGGGCATCTGTCTCTCTCTCTGCTAACATGTCTGGAGCCATCTAAATCTGGTCAGACGAATCCCTGCTGTGCCATGTGGTGTCAGAATCCAGCACCAGTGCTTTGCCCACACATTCCTGCCTCTTGGGATCTTTTCCTGGCCTTGCTTATGCAAGGACAACCACCTTGAAAATCGTTCCTCTCTCTTTCTGCACCGTGGTTTTGCAAATGATTTTAGTTCCCCTGCAATTGGAGAGGAAACATCTTCCCGCAGCTTTCCCTGCCAGGAAGTGTACAAGTGTATTCCCCATTCCTGCTAGGAAATAGAGAGAGGGACTGAAGCTGAAGACCAGTGTGTTTTCCAGCACACCTGCGTGCTTGTGCAGTGTCCTGAAGGTAAAATCCCTGAAAACGTTGGAAGTTGCCCTGCCTGAAAGAGTTTCCGTTTTGCTTTTTGCAGGTTTATAGAGGAGAAGTCTTCCTTTGAGTATGGACAGGTGAATCATGCCCTGGCTGCTGCCATGAGGACTCTAATCAAGGAATACATGATCCTAATTACCCAGCTGGAACACCTTCAGAGGCAGGGACTTCTGTCGCTGCAGAAGCTGTGGTTTTATATCCAGCCCACAATGAGGACCCTGGAGATTCTGGCTTCGCTTGGTAAACTCCCCAAATACAGTCATTGCATTTTGACAGCCTCTGAGCACTGTGCAAAGCAGCAGTACAGGCAGGGCATGGCTCATTTTAATTTTCCGTTTTATTGGAGGAGAAAGCCAAGGGGAATTGTGCTTGCCAGGGCACTGCTCTGTTTTTGGAGAGCTGTAGAACCGAAGCCACCCTTTGGAGCTGTCAGGAGGCACATCTATGTCCTTTACCTTCACAGCCCATGCCCTTCCCATCAGCTGCATCCACCACTGCTGTCTCTACTCAGCTTCTTTCCAAAGTCCTCTCCAGCTGTGTGGATGTACAAAACACACACTGGTTCCACCAGAACTAATCCCTGGAAGTTCCCAGTCCAACCCCTTGCTTACAGCTACTGCAGGTGGCTCAGGTCCATGCAAGTCTGGACAATCCCCCACCACTCTGGACCCTTTTCTATGACTTCCCCACCCTCTTTGTGAACATTTCTTTCGGTTTCTCCAACTGGAATTGCCCTTCTTGTACCTTTTACCCTTTTGGTATTGCCCAGTCCTGGCCTGTGCCATTGCACGGTGTTGGTCACAGATGTGAGAATACCTGTGCATTACTCAGCCCAGAGAATTTATCTGGACTTAAATATCTGTTCAGATTTCCCTAATAACCTCCCTAAATCCTGGTGTTTGAGCCATATGCATGGCAGTGTTGCAGTCAAGAACAGAAGGGCTTTAAAGATTAGAGGGGTTTCAGATCACTGGAGTGTGTGTTTCTTCCATTCCCACCTGGAAAGTGGATCTCTACACGTTTTCCGCTCAGCATAAGAGGCTTTTGGACTCTAAGCCACAGTGTATCCTGTGTCTACCTGAGCTCAGTTCTCCTGCCCTGGAAGGTTTTTGAGTCTGGGGACCGTTTGGGTTTGGTTCTGGTTTTTTTTTTCCAGGACATTTCAGGATGTGAATGCCTCATATCTGCATTTTTAAATTCCAGCCACTTCCGTGGACAAGGGTGAGTGTATGGGAGGATCCACCCTGAGCCTGCTCCATGACAAGACTTTCAATTACACAGGGGACAGCCAGGCCCAGGAGCTGTGCCTGTATTTAACCAAGGCAGCCAGTGTGCCTTATTTTGAAATCCTGGAGAAGTGGATATATCGAGGCATCATCAATGATCCCTACAGGTAAAGAACAGCTAAGGGGTGAAAATGAAATGCAACAGCTGAGAAACACTGATCTTCCCTCTCGAGTCTGCATAGCCTGGGGAGGGGGGGGCTAGAACAACCCTATCTGAAGTTTTTTTGGGCTTTTGTAGAATCATTGAAGCATTTCTCTGTGTTCAATAGTTTATGCTGCATTTAAGAGACCCTATTGCCAGTTTACAGGGGAAAATAAATAAATAAATCCTCACTGTACCACTTCCTGCTTCTAAACATCTGCTTTCACTGTCCAGCGAGTTCATGGTGGAAGAGCATGAGCTGCAGAAGGAGAAGATTCAGGAGGACTACAATGACAAGTACTGGGACCAGAGATACACTGTTGTTCAGCAGCAGATTCCCTCCTTCCTGCAGAAAATGGCTGACAAAATCCTGAGCACGGGTAGGTGCGGGTGCACTTCTGGTGTGAGAGGAATCTTGGGGCAAACATTTGTGTAAAGGTGACAGAGATGTCGTCAGGCCTTGCCAGTTCACGGAGTTGCCCGGCGGAATTTAAGGGAATAAAAGGGTCAGATTTAAAAAGAACCCCAAGCCCTGTGAATAAAACAAGGCATGGGAAGGAGTCCAGCAGCAAGGGGAGCTGTCTGTCTCACTGCTGGTTTGTGGGGAGGGCTTTCCAGCTCGATGGAGCTGGGCAGCTGAGGTTTGGCACCACCTGAGTGCTGATTTGAGGGGTTTAAATGAAACAAGCAACCCGATGGCCACCGTTGTCCTTGTCCAAACCCCTCTGAAGAGCAGCACCACTGCAAAGTTTCAGACCATCTGCAGAGATGTTTTGTCACCACTGGGAAGCAAAACCGTTCCTCAGTCTCCTTAAATGTGATACACCAGGTGCCTAATTTCAAATTCTGCATCATCTCTTGAAAGGTGTGTGAATCCTTCCCAGCAGAACTCGGTGTAAACATTTTGCAGCATGTCTGGAAGGTGGTGGTGTGGAAGTTTCCCTGTTGGCTGTACAGTGGGGATGAATGTGGGTCATTCTTGCTTTTCTTTTTAGGGAAATATTTAAATGTCGTGAGGGAGTGTGGGCGAGATGTTACCTGCCCTGTGGCCAAGGAGGTCATCTATACTTTGAAAGAGAGAGCCTATGTGGAGCAAATAGAAAAAGCATATAACTATGCTAGCAAAGTTCTCCTGGATTTCCTGATGGAGGAGAAAGAGCTGGTGGCTCACCTAAGGTTTGATTTATCTCACTAAACGCATGATTTCTTCTGATAGGGGACGCTTTGTAGTTACCCCTCTTCTCTTGGGATGTTATCAGTTTGTTCTCTCTGCTTCTGTTGGGAAATTTGACCTAAAATATAAGATTGGGCTTTTTTTTTACCTGAGGAGTGAAAAAGGAGAAGGTTAAAATCACTGGAATGTTGAGTGGAGAGGATGGGGGGGGGGGGGGTCTGAGGTCCAAATTCCCATGAAGGCTGCTGTCAGAACTAGGTCGGGGCTTTGTCTAACCCAGTCAGATCAGGAGTCTGCATCCACATTGTGTTAAGGCTGCGAGGGTCCTATTTTTGCTCCAAAGCCTGCAGTTATCATGTGTGATCTCTGGGTTAATCCTCAGACTCACCCCAGAGCTATCTCCAGGTTCCAGGCCCAGTGCAGTTAACCCTCCCTGGTGCCATGTGGAAATTCGAAGTTTATGCGAATAAACTGTTATAGCAATAGTCTGCTAGAGTTAAAAAAATCTGCACAGGTGCTTGTTCACTGAGAGGAGTCCAAGATTCTGCTCTGAACTGGGAGCTGCCCCTCAGCTGGATGTGCCCACCATGGAGGTTTGGGATTTGTTCAGGGTAGCAGGAGCCTGTGCCCAGCAATGTGTTGCATATGTAGGGATTTTTCCTGAGGTACATTTTTCAAGGCAAAAAAAAAAAACAGCAGCAACCCTGATCTGACTGCACAAAAGTCTCCTGACTGAGGGGGTAGGGAGGGGGAGACATCCATAAAAGACTAGTCTCCAGGTTGGTTATTTATGGCTGTGTGTTCTCTGGGAAGAGGAACATTCTGTGATCCGACCCAGCAGCCTGGTTGAATTGATTGCTTTTGTTCCCTTGGGTTTGATGTGGATTAACCTGGGCTTTAAAAAAAAAAAAAAAAAAAATCAAAATCAATTGTCCCTTCATTTTCTTGAGCAGATCTATAAAACACTATTTCCTGATGGACCAAGGGGACTTTTTTGTTCACTTCATGGATCTCACAGAAGAGGAGCTTAAGAAGCCCGTGGACGACATCATAACCACGAGGCTGGAGGCCCTGCTGGAGTTGGCCCTGAGAATGAGCACAGCCAACACAGATCCTTTCAAGGATGATTTAAAGGTAAGAATGGATGGAAGCAGGGTTTGAGCAGAAGGCCTGCCACGGTTTGGGGTGGTCTGTGTGCCTGCTGCTTCCCAGGTTGGTCTGATGACTGGGGTGTGACTCAGATCACGTGCGCTCTGTACATGCTGCACGGGATTTGTGAATAACCTGCGGGATCATTTTCTTTCCCTGCTCTTCCTTTATAGATTGACTTGATGCCCCATGACCTCATCACGCAGCTCTTGAGAGTACTGGCCATAGAAACCAAGCAGGAGAAGGCCATCATCAGTGCAGACCCCACAGAGCTCACCCTCAGCGGCCTGGAGGCATTTTCCTTTGACTACATCGTTAAGTGGCCTCTGTCCCTTATCATAAACAGGTGAGGTGACAGTCCATGGAAGTTAAAAAAGGCATGGGGTTGAGGCACATTTCCACATGGCAGAGTACTGGAAATCCTGTCTATTCAAAGTGGTGTTGTAAGTTTGCTGATGAGTAAGGAATGCTTTGGGATTGCTGAGTCCTGCTTGCCTCACTTGTACGCTCTGCATTATGGATTGTCTTTTCAGTAGAGTGTGCCATGTCTAAGGCGTGCTTGGAAAGTCAAATCTTCATTTGAAGTGGTGGGAAGACGTAGATCAGAGAATCATGGAGTGGTTTGAGTTGGAAGGGTTTGGTTTGGAAGGGATCCTAAAGCTCATCTCATTTCACCCCCTGCCATGGGCAGGGACACCTTCCACTAGCCCAGGTGGCTCCAAGCCCTGTCCAACCTGGCCTTGGACACTTCCAGGGATGGGGCAGCCACAGCTTCTCTGGGCAACCTGTGCCATGAGAATATGAACTCTCCCAAGAGGGGTTTACATGCAAGAATCAAACATTCCTCAAATCTGGAGAGCAGGGAAAAAAAATGCACTTTCTGGTATCCCTGGCTTGCAGACTCGAGGGGTACAGGCCGTTGGTAGGGTTACGATGGCAAACTATTTTGCATTTGATGGAGCTGTGAGGGAATGGTTCATTTTTCCACAGGGATATGCCTCTTGTTTGCCTGGAGAAACCCTGGCAGAGCCACTGCTCTGGGACAAGCAGCGTTGCATGAACAGGGTGAGGCGACAGATGTCGAGTTGCTAAATGCCAGCAACGAATCCGTCCCTTAATTTCCCCTCTCGAAACGCAGTGGGATCGCTTTTCCTGGCGACGTGACGCTTTGGGAATTGCGTCTCTGCCTTTCCAGCGGAGTGTGTCAGCTCTGAGGGGAGCTGTGGAAGTGAAAATAGGATTTGGTGAGGTTTCCTGAACTGTACTGACTGGAGCTCTGCAGACACCTACGCTCGAGTGTCTGAGCACAGACCTGAATCCAGTCCCCGGAGCTATAAATAAGCAGCCCCATCTGCTTGTGACAGTGCATTGCTGCTGGGGTAATGCTGCCTGTAGCTTGGTTACAGCTTTTTCTCCCTCTCTCTGGCAAATCCTGGTGAATTATTGGGTGATCACAGCAGCCTTAGCACAGTGGGTACAAGACCAGAGGCTTTCAGCCCTCACTCCCCCTCTGTGAGTGACCTCTGTGCATGGAGCTCGAGGGAGTTGAAGGAGGTTGGTGATGTACCCACCGGCAGGAAATACGGAGGAGGGACTCCTTGGAGAGAAATTCTTTTTAGGATGGTTACAAATGTGATTTTTTTTTTTCTCCCCCTTTGGTTCAGATTGTTTCAGTGCGATCTATGTGCGTCTGAAGGCGTGAGGAACATATTGTGTAAAGTCTCTTTACCTTTGAGCAGCCTCAGCCTTCACAGCTTAGTCTGTCAATCAAGAAACTGGATGGCTTTCTCCTTTCTTTCCAGGAAAGCACTGACAAGGTACCAGATGCTTTTCAGACACATGTTCTATTGCAAACATGTGGAAAGGCAGTTGTGCAACGTGTGGATCAGCAACAAGACAGCCAAGCAATTCTCCCTGCATTCAGCTAAGTGGTATGGCCTTTTTCTTCTTTTTTTCTTTTTTTTTTTCAGCTGGATCAGTTTTGGGTTTCCTTCTTGCTGTTTAGGTACATCATGACTTGGCTCAGATAGTGTTGACATGGAAAAGATCCCTGCAAACTCTCTACTGGCTCAGGGAGGTCAAATTATAACATTTTAGGTTTCACTCAGTAGTTGCACCAGTAAAATTGCTTTAATATTTAATATTAAAATTTTAGGCAAGTATTCAAAGGCATTGTCCAGCCTACAACAGGTTCAAAACTCTGACTCTGGTAATTGAGGGAAAGCCACTGGGATACGTGGAAAATAATCAGAGATGGTTTGCATTGACTTTATAATCCCTCTCACACTGCAGCAGGGAATTTGCTAGGACAGAAATATTTAGCTCTGCCTGGCTGTGCAAGCCTGGTGATAGTTCTTGGTGGCATTTGCTAGCTCTGAGCTGTGTGGGTGTGATTTCTCCCCTAGGTTTGCTGGTGCTTTCACACTGCGGCAGCGGATGCTGAATTTTGTGCAGAATATCCAGTATTACATGATGTTTGAAGTGATGGAGCCAACATGGCACATTCTTGAGAAGAACCTGAAGCTGGTGAGTGTGGGTGCTTGAGGGAAACTGGAATGAAGGTCTTAACAAATGTAATGTAGGGGAAAAAAACAACACCACCCTAATTTCAGTTACTGCAGGAGTCTGTCGGTTTTGTTGGAGGCACTTGGAGTGCTGCTGTTCTACATCACCTTTGTCAGTCATGTACCCCTTCCCTGTGCTGCATCCTCCTGTCTCTGTCCAGCTCACACCCTGCACCCTGTTATGTAAAGGCTTTTCTGCTGAACATTCCCGTACACAGAAGAAGGAGAACTGTGGAAAAGGACGAAGGATGCCGAGTGCTAAGATCATAAACCGGTCCAGGCATCTCCAGCTGATTCCTTGGCTGACTTACAGTCCCTCTTAAAAATGGAATCTGTGCTTGCTCTTCCATGAAAACACCAAGAACTGGGATGTTAGGACTGTCCAGTACTAAACAGGGCCTTCCTGATTCAGGTGGCTGTTCCACGTGTCTGTGACCATTGCAGGTGGGCAAGGCTGGAGCCCTTCTCCACTGCAGTGGCATCTGGGAGGGGCTGAGCTCACTTCCCACTGGATTTTATGCCTGTTGAGAGGGGACCTGGGCAAGGCATCATTTGGGTTCCTTTCACAGAGATACGATGTCCTGAGCTGTGGGATTTTCCAGGTATCATACAGAACATTTCAGGTTCACTACTCCAAGTAACTTCCCCAGAAGTTAATTTTTCCCCTAACAAAAAAAAAAAAAAAAACCTGCAAGAACCAGATTTCATCTCACGAGGGGCAGGCAAGATGCCTTAATTGTATCTTGGAGAAGAACACGTTCCCAGCTCACGTTCCACCTGCCTGTCTGAAGCCAGGAATGAGAAGTTGTTCTGAGCTTCAGGACATCCCATAATTGTACACAGCGAGAGGGGGGTTTTAGTCTGTCGTTTAAAACTCAAGACTGAAACAGCCCAATAAAGCAGCAGAGCTGGACAAAACCCTTACAGAATCCTTGCAGCACTGCATGTCCCAGTTCCTTATTGGCACCTGAAGCACATTTTCTGAATAACCTGTATGTTTTAAGCCTTTACATGTTTATTGACATTTAAGGTTCTTCGATTTGTTTTTCTCTTTTCCACTTATTTTCGCTGAGATTGTGAAGGTGGGAGTGGGCATGACAAGCACATTTAAAAGCAGAGGAAGTGCATGTTCATAAAGCAGATAACTCCATCCTTTTCCAGTGGAGGGTTTGGGGGATTAAGGAAGGCACAGTTTGGTTGAGGAGGTGATGTGACACATCAAAGGTTAAAAGCCTTTGAAGGCAATAATCAGTCTCCATCTCAGGATGTTTCTGGAAGTTACATGAGGAGTTTCTCACCGGAGTGTCTGAGAGATCCCTGTCAGAGCAGGGTGCTGGGGTACAATGCTTTGGAACAGTGCAGCCCATCAGCCCTGGTGTGGTTTGTCACTGCTGCCCCGTCCTGTCACAGGCATCCAACATCGACGACGTCCTGAGCCACCACACGAGCTTCCTGGACAACTGCTTGAAGGACTGCATGCTGACCAACCCAGAGCTGCTCAAGATCTTCTCCAAGCTGATGTCTGTCTGTGTCATGTTCACAAACTGCATGCAGGTGTGTACAGCCCTGCCAGCTGTTCTGGGACAGTCCCTTCGGTCAACCCCTGCTGTGCTCGGCGCCCGTGGACGAGCCTCTGTTCCCTCTGTCGGCAGGCTTTAGAGCCTGATGGCTCACACCCTCTCCCAGGTGGTTTCTGTGGCCTCTTGCTCCACAAAAAACTCTGTGCTCTCCTTTTTTTTCCGTGCTGAGATCACGTGAGTGGAATTCCCTCTCCTCAGCCAGTCCTGCAGGAGAATGTGGGGTGTGAGGGCTGTGGGGCTCTGCACAGGCGTTCTTTTGAGGGTCAGGGGGTTGAGCTCTTGGAAACTGGGCACACTCTGGCCAGCACCAGGGCTTTAAAAAACCCCACTTTCCTTTGTGTTTAGGGAGATCTGTGCATCAGCACGGTGAGTTCAGCATCAGAGTTGGCTTTCCTGGGAGTTCAGCGGCTGCAGGGCGAGCAGGACTGAGCGTCGTGCTTTGCCGTGGCGGGAAGAACGGGCTCTAACCATTTCTAACCATTTCTAACCATTTCTAACCATTGCCCCCCTTGCCAGAGGTTCACCCAGAGCATGAAGCTGGACAATGAGCTGGAGAGGCTCACCCTGGAGCACGGCACCATGCTGGGCCCCCCCACGGAGGAGGAGCGCGCCGAGGAGGCGGCCAAGAAGAAGCTGACGAACAAGGTGGGACACGGGGGGGGGGGTGGCTGGGCCCTCCCCTCTGCCTGGGGGGTCAGGCTGAGCAGGATGGTGCCCCACCTCCTGCAGACAGACCTTCCTACTTCCCAGAGCACCCCAAAAGCACGGTCTCTGTGGAATTGGGGGCAGTGTTGGAGCTTGAAAATGAGCAGTGGCAGCATGTGTTTGTGGATAACTCTGCTGGGTCTATTCGTGGATAACTCCACTGGGACCTACCCCAGGGTTCTCCCAGGCTGGGCACAGCAAGGGTTTTAACAGCTAAGGACTTTGCAACTGTCTCGGAAGTGTCGTGGAAGTAATTTTGAGCAGGTTAGGAAAAGGAGGAAATAATTGTATCTCCTCGGCAAGGGCAGATCAGCAAACCCCATGGGGCCTCTCTGCCTGTGTCTCTGCAGCTTCTAGCAGAGCATGCTGACAACCTCCACCTCACATCTGGCTTTGAAGCCACGATCAACAAGTTTGACAGCAATTTCTCCACACATCTGCTGGACCTGCTGGACAAACTGAGCGTTTACAGCACCAATGACTGTGAGCACAGCATGCTCAACATCATCTACAGGTGAGCCAGTCATTTTCTGTCTGTAACTTCCCCTCCTGTGGGCTCCAGATTCGGCTCAGGAATTGCTGATTATAACTGTGCATCAGTGAAAACACTGAAACCACGAGAAATATATGTATTTGTGAGCTCTGAGCAACTTGGTCTCGTGGAAGATGTCCTTACCACTGGCAAGGGGTTGAGTTTTAAGGTCCCTTCCAACCCATTCTGTCATTATACACTGCTTTGCATTTCAACCTAAGGCTTGGGAAAAAAAAAAAAAAACCCAAACACGTTCCTTTGGATTATGTGAAATTTGTTAATTAATATTGTAAATGCAGTGTAAGTTTTCCTGGGGACTGTCCCGCTGTGGAGACAGTGGATGCACTGATTCCTGAATGCAGCGTAAGTATTCCATGAGGAGAAAGCTGTGCAAGGGTTTGATCATAAAGTGGCTGTTTTAAGTTCACATGACTGCGTTTGTTTCAATAAGCAGCCTCTTGGAAATCGAAATTCCTCCAGAAATACCTAAAAGTCAGGTACACAAGATACAAGAGAGAGAGGAGGTGGCAGCATCTGGCAGGGCTGTCAAGGCTTCCTGGTACCAGCCTTTGCAAACGCTGTTTGGTGAAGTATTCCCGTGGGAGGCTGCTCTTCCAGGTGTCTTTTTCTTCTGAGAACTTCTTGTCCAGCCAACTACCACACACTTACACAGCCCCTGGCCTCCTGCTGGGGCTGGGAGGTGGTCCCAAGGCTGTCACCTCTGCTACCTTGGTGCTTCCAGGAGCGGAGTGCAGCCCACCAGCTCCCAAAGCACTGCAGAGGATGTCTTGTCTTCTTCCTTGTGGGATTGTATTCCTTATTTAAGGATACTCACGGGCATCTGAAAGGAAGTGCAGTGCCACAGGGCTGCTTGGTGCTCTGAGCTCTTCTGCTTCCACCCCCCCTGTCAGGGTGGAGCTTCCCAGCTCCAGAGCTGCCCCTGTGGGGGGGATGCTGAGTTCCCTGAAACGGGAACTTCAGGCTTCTCCACAGCCCTAGGAACTCTGCTTCACTCCCTCTCTGAAGTGACTAGAGTCAGAGGTCTCCTCCTCATCTTGGAAACTCTTTGAAGACTTCCAAGATTTCCAAGACTCGTTTTCGTGGCTGTGAGTGCAGGCCCCAACTGCAGAAGCGACTGCTGTTCCTTTCATTTCTAGCCAGGACTGCCAAGTCTCTTCAAATCCTTTTGGGAAGTGCAGGTGCAGCTTATCAAGGCCTTCCCAACATTTTGTATCATCTTTCATCTGCCTGGGCATCCTTGTTCGTCATCATCATCAGGCTGTTGTAGGTCACAGGCAGGATCCCCCTGTAGAAAAAGGGATTAATCTCTCACTCCTCCCTGGCTGCCATCGCTCCTGGGTGTCACAGGAGCATCCAGAGTCGGGCTGGGGCCCATCCAGGCAGGAACATTTACTCCTCCCCAGTGCTCCAACTCTGCCTCCTGCTTCATCCAGCACTTACATTTTTATCAGTGCCAGAACAAGCTCTAACAAAAAGCCCGCTCTCAGGTGGCTAACAGGTGACTCCTGAGCTGGGAGACCTCTGGAGCCAGTTCTCCCAAATATGGAGGGGTGGGGTTTTGCAAGCAGCACTTCCCACTTCGGGGGAAAGGAGAAGTGTGGTGATTTCAGGGCATTGAGCAAACCCAAGTGCTGTTGCCAAGTGGTTTACATCGAGAACGTGATCTGAGCTGCATCCAGCGGCTCAGGAGTGGGTCTGGGTCCTTTGCCCCCCATTATTTCCGTACCCCAGTTCCACTGAGGAAGTACTGAGTCTAAAGTCTCCCCCATCCCAGTCTGGACTTGTCTGGAACCTCCTGAGTCTTCACCAAGACGTTGGACGTAGCTGGACCTCTCCTGACAAACATTTCCTCGGGGGAAATGGTGGATGTTAACAGGCCGTGGGACATGGGATGTGCCTTCCCACCCCTGCAGGCTGCTCAGGAAGGGTTTCGAGGGTGGAAGCCCCACGGTGGGTGCCCAGGGGTGCCATTCAGCTCTCATTCAACCGGTAGGGATTATTGGCTCCAGGCCTGGGCTCTATGGCAACAGGAACCCGAGAACCAGAGCGGAGACGGTTGCCATCTGAAGTAACATATTTGACAGAGAGATGGAAGAGTTTATAAGACACACCAGTCTTTTTTTATAATTTTTAACCTTTTTATAGGGACTGCTTTTCAAAGGTGATCGTCAGCATTTCACGTAGATAGCAGAATAGCCCTTTATTCACAATTGTGGTACTTGCTCATCATTTATTTGATCCTGGTTGATGTTTATTCAGTTTCTAGTACTGACTAACCGAGGCACAACTGTTTATTTTGTTTGTGGCACCAAACAACAGATGATGGAGATACAGGGGGTTTCCTTAAGAGCTCACAGGTGATTTGCAGATCTCCGGTGTGCCCAAGTCCTGCTCAGGTGCCTCATAGAATCATAGAATATCCTATGTGTGGGAAGGGACCCCCAAGGATCATCCAGTCCAGCTCCTGGCCCTGCCCAGGACACCCCAACAATCCCACCTTGTCCCTGAGGGCGTTGTCCAAATGCTTCTTGAGCTCTGGCAGCCTTGGGGCTGTGCCCACTGCCCTGGGGAGCCTGTTCAGTACCCAACCACCCTCTGGGGGAAGAACCTTTCCCTGAGATCCAACCTGACCCTGCCCTGGCACAGCTTCATGCTGTTGTGTCAGGAGCCTTGGCTCCATCAACAGCAGTGCTGACAGAGGATTGGCAAGTGCAGGAACTCTCCACTTACTCCTCCACGTCCCAGGGGTGAAAAGGAGAAGAATTAGAGCACAGAGGGCTTTGACAGAAGGGTGAAGTTCACATTCTTAGAAATCTTACCATCGGTGCGGTTTTCTGACATCCTTCCTTTACCAGTTTGGAGGAAACTGAGCTCAGAGTAAGTCACTGGGACACGTGAAGCGATGCAGACCCCAGTGAATAGAAGTTCCAGCCACAAAGGAAGAAACTGCAGTGCAAGCAGGTTTTCAGGCAGCACCACGCAAATTCTTAACAAATAGCTATCACAGATCATTAAAACCTGAAAACAGCTGAAGGGGAAGCCAAGAACAATCTACAGTTCACCAATAAAACAGCTTTAGAAACGGGGCAGGCCCTCAAAGCAGTGATGTGGGCGAGTCCTGGCCTTGTGTTTGAATCAAAACTTGGTCAGTGCACTCACCTCAGTGCCAGGTTTCCCTGGTACAGTTCCTGAAGGACGAAAGCAGTGTTAAGCTTTTCAACCAGGAGAGAGCAACAGATAAATTCCATCTGTCGAGGCTCTGTTTTCTGCAGGCACCAAAAAATGTCAAGGAACAATTTGTTGCCGTTCGTGTGAGGTTGTTAAGCAACATGAAACTCAAATATTGTGCCCATTCAGTTGGTATTGGAGCAGCCTAATTTGAGATATGGAGAGAGGAACTTTGGTGTGATTCACAGGCTTGCACTGAGTCAGTGTCCCAGGGCAAATGAGGGTAAGAGCTGCACATGCCGTGGTTGGTTTGGGATCTGCCATGGGAAGTTCGCAGCGGGGTGTGGGGCTGGGTGGTCCTGTGGCACCTCTTAGGATTATCAAGGAGACAGGATTGCAGTATCCCTGATGTTGCCTGTTTTGGAGAGGTGTTTACAAGTATCAGCAGCACCTGGTGGTTGTAGCTGAGAACCTTCCAACCTCTTGCTTTGTCTTGGTGAATTGTGGATCCGTGTGAAGCATCCCAGTGTTAGCAAGGAGGTGGTGGGGATGGAAACCACAACATTTTGTGGTGGTTACAGGGGATAATATGTGGATTTCCTATGGGAATTAGTACCAGAGTTCAGTGGTGGTGGAGTCTGGTCTTGATTTGGCACTGACCAGGCTCCCCAGGGCAGTGGGTACGGCCCCAAGGCTGCCAGAGCTCCAGGAGCGTTTGGACAACGCCCTCAGGGACAGGGTGGGATTGTTGGGGTGTCCTGGGCAGGGCCAGGAGCTGGACTGGATGATCCTTGGGGGTCTCTTCCCACTCAGGATATTCTGTGATTCTCTGGTGTTAAGGAGAGGTGTCTGGGAAGGCGCTGAGACTGAGGAGCCCTTGCGCTGCCACCTTGTCCCCAAGTGACGCTTCAGCAGCACTGTGAGGTCGAGCCGCGGCTCCAGAGAAGAGCTGAGAGCATTTGGTCCCTCCCGATGTATTTGGGACGTAAGGCACGGGTGGCACTGAGCCTGTTGTCAGGGGACAGGCACACCAGAGGTGTCACCCACACCTGCAGCGCAGCTCAGATGTCCCTGCCTCGCGGGGCCAAGTAGGGCAGGCGGGGCCGGGGCTCTCTGCGGGGGCCCTGGGGGGGTTCCTCCACAGCCTCCTCCACCTCCGCTGTGTTCTGTCTCCCAGGTTGGACTTCAACGGGTTCTACACGGAGCGCCTGGAGCACATGTCGGCCGAGCGCAGCCAGAAGGCAGCGCCGCTGCTGCCCCGCCTGGCCGTGCCCGCCCAGTGAGCCGGGACCCCTCCCCTCCGCATCCTCCGCATCCGCAGGGGGAGCTGGAAACCAGCACAGGGCTGTCCCCCAGACACGGGGGAACGTTCCGTCTCCTGAGATGTGTGTAACGAAACTTGTTCTTCCGACTGGCTTTTTGTTAATCCGTTTTGTTTTGTTTTGTTTTGCTTTTTACTGTATTGTACAGTGATGTGCCGGTGTGTTGTAAAATAAATTTAACGACAACAACAACGACAAAAAAATCGGGGTTATTTTGTCTGTAAACAGAACCCAGGGTGCAAGTTATTGTGGCTGCCCCATCCCTGGAAGTGTCCAAGGCCAGGCTGGACGGGGCTTGGAGCAACCTGGGCTAGTGGAAGGTGTCCCTGCCCATGGCAGGGATTGGAATGGGATGAGTTCTGAGGGCCTTTCCAACCCCAACACTGTATGGGCTGAGCCAAACAGAGGAGTTTCAGGGAGTCTTAACGAGAGTCGTGCAGCTCCAAACGTTTCCTGAGCCACTTGGGGAGCAGGTGAGGTAGAGGCTGGAAGAGAAGTGTCTCCCGGGGACAAGGGGAAACCAAGACACGTGCCGGGGGCCAAGGGGCCTCAGGGACAAGAGCGGGAACCTGGGGACAGGTGGTGAGGGCTGTGGGCACAGGGCTGAGCGCTCCCGGTGCTGACCTGCCCTTCCTCGCTCCTTCACAAGGACCTTTGGAGTGCCCTGGAGGGAAGAGCCGGGTTGTCTGTGCTGCGTGGCCCAAAGCTGGACCTCCAGGGAGAGGGTGGAGACCACCAGCGAGCACCGAGTCTCAGCAGGAGTCAGAGATAGTTCTGAAATGCTCATTTTTTTAAATCAGTGCCCCACGCGACCCCCAAGCCGCCCCCCCAGATGCCCAGTGGGCGATCCCCCACTGCCCCGCGCGGCCCGGGATGTCCCGTGGACAGCCCCCCGAGGCCGCACATCCCCGCCGCGGTCCCCCCCGGTCCCCCCCGCCGTGGGCGGCCCGTCCCGCCCGCCCCGCCCCGTCCCGTCCGCGGGTGTCGGTGAGTCACGGCGGGCGGGGGCTGCCGGCGGCGCGGCGAGCGGGGGCACGGCGGGACCTCCGAGCATGGCCCCGCCGATCCTCCTGCCGCTGCTGATGCTGCCGGCGCTGCCGCCGATGCTGCTGCTGCTGCCGATGCTGCTGATGCCGCCGGCCCGAGGTGAGAGGGGGGTCCTCACGGGACGGGGCGGGCGGGGAGTTCGGGGGACGTGCGGCAGGAGCCGGGGGTCTTCGGCTCGGAGCAGGGATGGAGGCACCGGGGTGGAGGCACCGGGGCGTGGGGATGCTTTCCCCCCTCCAGAACGAAGGCTCTCGCGGGGGGAGAAGTCCCGGGAGGGCACCGCTGTCCTCACCGCCCCGAGGGCAAGGATGATGGGGAAGGGGCGCCTGGGGCCAGGCTCGACCCCACGGGGACGCTCCCGGTGCCCACCGGCCCCGCTGGTCCGTGGAGGCACTTCGGGGAGGCGAGGGGGATCGGCCACCGGCGGCCCGCGGCGAGCCGGGAGTCGCCCGTGATTCAGCCGGTGAGGGGGCGTCTGGCTCCCACCCGTGGGCGAGGACCGTGGGCACCCCCAGACCGCGCACCGTCCGACCCCGCGGTTCGGAGCTCGCGGGGAAGGCGAGGGGTTTATGGCAGAAATTCTCCGCTCCGACATCCAAGGAGAGGCTGGGAGGGGGCTGAGCCACCCCGGCACCAGCCGCGCTCCCAAACAGCCCCCACAGCCGCCAGACGCCGAGTCACACGCGGTGGCATCACGATGGGGAGCTGGAAAACCTCCCTCTGTATTGGCGCACCGGGGGCTCGGCGGGGTTTTCCGGCCCCAAAGGGACTTGCTCTCCGGCAGGTGATGCTGAGCTGTCCGGGGTGGGGGGGGGGCGGGTTGGAGCATCCCCGGAACCCATCGGGGAGTTGTGTTCCCAGCAGGTATTTCAGGACTTGCTATTTGGGCTCTTCCCTGCACTCTCATTTTGGCCACTTCCATTGCCCCCTGGTTTCAGACCCAAGGGAACAGCATGAAGCTGTGCCAGGGAAGGTTTAGGCTGGATTTTAGGAAAAGGTTCTTCCCCCAGAGGGTGGTTGGCACTGAACAGGCTCCCCAGGGCAGGGGGCACGGCCCCAAGGCTGCCAGAGCTCAAGAACTGTTAGGACAATGCTCCGAGGGACAAGGTGGGATTATTGGGGTGTCCTGGGCAGGGCCAGGAGCTGGACTGGATGATCCTTGGGGGGTCTCCTCCAGCACAGGATATTCTGTGACTGGGTTATTCCTGGGCAAGCTGCTCAAAGCCCTTTGGCTTTCCCCAGGTGCCACTGCCGGGCTGGAGGAGACGCTCCCCCACGTCGAGCAGTACGAGACGGTGATGCCACGCGAGGTGCCGGTGCCCCGGGGAAAGAGGGACCTCTCTGCACCTCGGGTGAGTAGAATTGGTCAGGTCAGCTTTTCCAGGCTGTTTGGGGGTCAAATAGGGCCTTCAGAGAGCGGGGTGCACTCTTGGAGGGAGGAGGGGACAGCTTTCTCCTGCACTTTCTTCGGAGATGTGACCCAGCGATGCCACCTCTTGCAGCCTTGCGGTGATCTTGTGACATCTGGTCTTCCCTTAAGGAAGGGTTTGAGAAGCCTCGTGGAGCTGTAAGCACTTTTCTTGCTGTGTTTGCTGAAGTTGGTTGTTTTTTGGTTTTTTTTTGTCCTTTGGGGCAGAGAAATAAGAATCAGAAAGTTGCAGAAATCCACATGAAAGAGAGCCAGCGCTGTTTTTCTTGGGAAACCTGGCAATTTGGGGGAAGGAATGGGGTTTGAGTCAGGAGTTTGGAGTGCTTGGTGTTGACGTCTGGAGGATGATGGGCTTGCCCTCAAAGATACTTTCCTCCTTGCCTTAAAGGGAAATTCAGCCAATTTTTTTTTATTTTTACTTTGATTCATTTTCTAGACATGAAAAGTGCCGATTTTAGTGCCTGAGGGGACGGACAAGCTGGGGACATGTATTCCCTAGTGCCATGCAGCACGTTCCCCTGTGATTCAAACCCTCCCTGATAAACTAGCTTCAAAATCACTCCCCGAAAGCATCTGTTTTCCCTGCTCTAGAAACCTAAACTTGTCCACGAGATAAACATTCCCCAGGCTATTTAGAGACGCCATCTGTGCCGGGCACGCCGGGCGGCTCTGCACCGATCCCCCCCGGAAAGGGGAGCTCACCCTTCCCGGGATCCCTCTGGGGAAGATATCTGCCTTGAGCTGTGTGTTTTGGGACCACCACGAGGGGCTGTCTGCTGGGTGGCACCTGCGTTTGGGCTCAGGTCGGGTGGTCCTTGGAGCTCCCAAACCTGTCATGGTGAGGGGATGAGGTCTCGTGCCTTTCAAGTCGTTTCCTCCTCCTGGGGAGAGGTTGGGTTTGCTCTCCTGGTAACCTGGATGGAGAAGAGGTTCCCAGCGTGGCTTGACCGCTCTTTGACATGGAGGCATGTGTTCTTCATGCCCTGTAGCTGTCTCTGGCTGGGACAGGCATGGGCCAGGAGCTGATTCCTGGTTCGGAGCGGCTGGGACACGTGGGATCGGTCCATCAGAGCACCTGCCCAGGTGAGGGTTGAAGCACACCGGCTCCCCTCTGGCTTTGGTTAAATCCAAATGTTCATCCCTGCAGACAGGGTGGAGACCTGAGTCCTGCAGGGCAGGATCTCCTGGATAGCAGCCTTCCCACAGGCTTTTTAGCAGGAGCACATGTGGCAGACCTGGATTCTTCATGGAAAGGGACCTAAAAACGTGATCCCTGTCCCTACTGCAAGGCCCATTGCCTCTTCCCACCCAGGGAAGAAACACCCTGTGCTGGGATGGGACGGGACATCCCGTCCCCATCCTCTGCAACGTCCCCAGGTCTCTTACTGAGCCCAGCTGGAAGAAATCCCTCCTGTCCGTGCACTGTGGCTATGGCTCTGCTGTGCTGGCTCAGCATGACCGTGGGGCTTGCAGGGCAGCTCCCAGAGCCTTCCCATCTGGAACCCTTGCACAGCCCATGCTAATGAGGAGGGGGGTGATTCAGAGAAGCTTTATCCGGACTATTTATTTTAAACTTGCCCTGCGGTTGCCTCCAAGAGACAGGCCCTGACCCACCGCCCCCTTCCAAGTGCTTTCCTGCCATTTCTTAAGACCTCTTCTGGCCCTGGCTTTGCCAACAATAACAAAGGATCTCTTTGTTGGCGGCACGGGACAGGACGGCCACGTCTGGTGGGAGACGCTGTTCATGAGAGAAGAATTTTCCAGGGAGCTGGGAGCGTGCTGGCACACCAGCGGGCTTGGGAATGCAAACCAGGTAGAATCCAGGGCAGCTGAGTGACAGGCAAACCCTCTCACCTGGCCCCGCTGGCGCTGAGTCAGCTCCAGCTCCTTGCAGGGTGCCGATCATCCCCCTGGGAGTGCTGAGCCATGTGCTGTCATCCTTCCCGGGGAGAGGCAGCACACCTCATCCCTGAGGAATGCTGGCCCCAAGGGAAAGGCTTGCTTTGCCTTTGGCTCAGCCCTCCACACCTGGATCCTGTAAGAGCTGAGGATGTGCCCTCAGGAGAGGTGGATGTGCCCTCAGGAGAGGTGGATGTGCCCTCAGGAGAAGTGGATGTGCCCTCAGGAGAGGTGGATGTGCCCTCAGGAGAAGTGGATGTGCCCTCAGGAGAGGTGGATGTGCCCTCAGGAGGGGTCTCGAAGTGGCTGAGGAGGTCCCTGGTGCCAAGCCTGATGTGGGGCACGATGAAAGGGACTGTCAGGTCTCTCCCAGCGGTCCCGCTGGGACAGGATCTCTGGAGGTCTGTGTCCCAGCCCCTGCATGTGGAGATCACAAGGTATCCCAGAGGGAAACACTTTTTCTGTAGGAACATCTCCACCCTGAGGGTTTGGGGGCCCAGCTGGCAGAGCCACGGCCACCCTGTCCCAGCCATAACTGACAGGAGGTTGGGCTTGAGATGCCTTGAGGTCCCTTCCAGTGGCACCAGGGGATCTGGGCTGTGGTGATCCTAAAATCTGCTCCCAGAGGCTGAGGAGGACCAGGGGAAGGTTGTTCTCTAAGGGTGGCGTGTCAGATTAGTCAGGGAGGAGGAAGTCACTGCTGATAAGATCCAGAGGGATCTTTGTGGTTCAGCTGGTGAGTAAGTGCTGAACTCAGCCCCCAAAAAAGGAGCTCTGTGACTGATGAGTAGGAAACCTCAGCCCCTGGCACGGCCATCTGCAGCCATGTGTCAGACACGGGAAACCAGGCTTTGCTGACTCCGTCTCTTTGCGGGTGACCTGTTCTTTCTCTCAGGATGTGCCGGGGATTTGCGTTATTGCCAGCATGCTTTCTTCCTTCTCTTCTGATTTCCTGTGTCTTTGCTGGATGACTCCGGGGGGAGCAGCTCCCCCACCCTGATCACACAGCCTCCCCCAGAGGGGCACATGCAGACCCCGTCCCCTTTCCGAGCAGGGCAGGGGCCGAGGGGCCGCTCCTGTGGAGCCCTTGCTCCTGCTGACGGGGGGTCCCTGGTGGCTCCTGTCCCCCATGCAGAGCTCGTACCCGGACCGTGTCCTCTACAGCGTCCGTGCCGAAGGCAGGGAATACCTCCTGTGGCTGGAGAAGAACAGGTGGGTGCAGGTGGGCACTGCAGGGAGGCTGGGAGGGGAGGCTTGAATCCCACCCTTGCCACGAGCATCCATTCTCCCAGGGCGCTGCTGGCGCAGCACTACACCGAGACACACTACTCTGCCGACGGCACGGAGATCACGGAGCAGCCCGACACTCAGGTAGGGGCTGGCTGCGGGGGAAAGCAGCTTTCCCGCCCCTGGGGGGGTCCCCCTCATGCCGACAGCTGGTGCAGACCCCCTACACCTCTGCTCTCTCCCCGTGGCAGGATCATTGCTTCTACCAGGGCCACGTGCGGGGCCACGCCGGCTCGGCAGCGAGTGTCAGCACCTGCCGTGGGCTCAGGTAGGAATCCCGCCCCACCCGGGGCACGGCCCAGCTCCCAGCCTGGCCTTGGCACACCCGGCCACGGTGAGCACAGCCAGAGCTGGGCTGATGGAGGGAGAGCTCAGCTTTCCCTGGCGGAAGAGAAGATGACATCCCTTTTCCTGCTGGAGGTGCTGACCCTGGCTTGGTGCCCAGCAGGAAGGGCACACGGCTGTCCGTGGGGCTGACTCACGGCAGCGGGGTGAGACCGGAGACCCGAGCACCACAGGAGCTCCGGGCAGGAGTGCCCTCCCTGGACAGCAAGGTCCAGCTGGTCCCTGATCCAGCCGGAATCGTCCAGTCCCTGAACCCCGGGACATTCCTGCTGCCCAAAATATTGGATACCCTCCATGCTACCAGCTGTGGGTGCCGTGCCACAGTTTGCCCCCTCCCAGCCCAGCAGCCAGTTTGGCAGGTGTATTTTCATGGAATCATAGACTCCCAGAACGCTCTGGGTTGGAAGGGACATTAAAGCTCATTTCATTCTACGCCCCCCTGCCGTGGGCGGGGACACCTCCCACTAGCACAGGTTGCTCCAATCCGCATCCAACCCAGCCTTGGACACTTCCAGGGATGGGGCACTTTCAGGGGTGCATGTACCGGTCTGTCTGTGTCCTGCTGGATATCTCCCCAGCCTGATGCCCGCCCTCTCTCTCTCCCCAGCGGATTCTTCCGTGTGAACGAGACCACGTTCCTGCTGGAGCCGCTGGAAGGGGCCGTGTCGGGCCGGCACGCTCTGTACCGCGCAGCTCACCTGCGGGGGAAACGCCGCACCTGCCGCGAGTCCGGGGACACCCTGGAGTACGACCGCGAGCCCAAAATCCCTGCAGCCATGAAGCTCTACCGCTGGGTGAGGGATTGCACTGTGCTCCTTCTTCCTGTAGCTGAGTTTGCAGGAGCCTGGCTCCTGAGAAGTCCACGGGGGTGGGGTGGGGGGGGTCCCCGCCTTTGGAGATGCCCCTCTCCCATCTGTTGTCGGGTTGGGTACTCAAACACAGGCGGCTCCTCGTGGATCCTCGGATCCTGTACCATCAACAGGAGCGCCCTCCTACCCCATGAGCTCCATGATGCCTGCAGAGCCGATCTTGTGGCTTATCCCAGTAGCGGGCTCGCGTTTTCCGGCGTATAAGCTGGAAGCACCATCAGAGAGCCGAGTGAGGAGACCTCCTGGCCTTGGAAGATACCCCAAAATCCAACACATCCCATGGCAGGGTCAACTGCCTGGCTGGGCAAGCTGCGAGCTGAGCCCCACCTTCCTCTCCCCTTGCAGAAATCAGGTCCGACACACAAAGGTCCCCGGTACGTGGAGCTGGTCCTGGTGGCGGATAACGAGGAGGTAAACGGGGCGGGGGCGAGCTGGTACCTGTGGGTTTGCTGTCACCCTCTGCAGTGAGGGGCTCAAAGCCAGCCTGGAAATCTCTCCGTGTCCTTCCCACAGTTCAGGAAGCACAAGGACTTGCGCACCGTGCAGAACCGCATGAAGGAAATCGTGAACCACGTGGACAAGGTGAGCCCCGGGGGGGCTCTGGGCCTGCCCTCCCAGCTCCCACAAGTGTCCCACGGTGCCAGCGTGGACAGAGGGGGCAGAGGAGAGGTTGGCACGGGTAGGGTGGTGGAGCTGGAGCTGATCTCAGGCCCGTGGGTGGGCTGCTGCAGGGTGACCACATCCCTTGGCCAACGGGGTGCGCAGGGTGGACACAACGAGAGGCTCAGCCCTGTCCATTAGGGAAGGGGAGGGGGGAATTTTGTCCTGTTAACCCTGGGAGCACGTCCCACGGCCACTCTCATGGTGGAGTGGGTGCTAACAAGGGGACCCCCCTGGTGCGGTTCCTGATTGCCTTGCCTCAGCCTCGCTTGTTGTTGGGCACCACAGGAGAAGCATCCCAGCCTTCACCAGCCAAGAGCGAGCTCAGAGGTCCCGGGGGAAACCCTATTTACACGGTCACCCTTTGTGTTATTTATTGAGGGGGACAGAGCTGATATGGTGCAGTGAGGGGGCTCCCGGGCTCAGCTGCACTTCCCTGGGGGGGGATGGGGTGGGACCTGCCTCTGCAGCCCAAATCTGAGCTCTCTCCGGGCTGTCTCCCACCCCAGCTCTACCAGCCTCTCCGCCTGCGAGTGGCCTTGATCGGCTTGGAGGTGTGGAACCACAAGGACAAAATCACAGTCAGCCCCAACCCCGAGGTGACACTGGACAACTTCCTGCACTGGCGGGAGTCGGAGCTGCTGCGGAGGAAGCCCCACGACAACGCCCAGCTGATCACGTAAGGACAGGGGAACCTCGCCACCCTCCTGGCCCTGCCACCTCCCGGGGCACGTGGCCATGGCATCTCCATCCCACAGGGGCATCGACTTCCACGGCAAAACCGTGGGGCTGGCCAAGAAGCTGGTGATGTGCACCAGGGACTCAGGTGCTGTCAGCCAGGTGGGTCCCGCTGCACGGCAGCACGAGGGACGTGGCACTGAGCCCCACTGGGCCCCGGTGGGGACGTTGTGGAGAAACCACGAGAGCATTTCAGCCACCCTGCTGCACTCCCTGTCCCACAGGACCACAGCACCAATCCCATCGGCGCTGCATCCACCATGGCTCACGAGATGGGCCACAACCTGGGCATGTCCCATGATGAAGATGTTCCCGGCTGCCGCTGCCCCGTCTCCAAGGCTGAAGGAGGATGCGTCATGGCAGGGAGCGTCGGGTGAGTGAAGGAGGAAGGGGAACATCCCCGGGCAGCAAATGTGTCGAGGCGTCCTCAGGCACTGTCCCAGCGGGGTGAAACCTGCGAGGTGGGTCAGGTCTGGGTGGGCATTCCATATTCCATTCCACTCCACCCCGCCCCACTCTGCCCCACTGCAGGTGCCTCTGAGCCTCTCGATGTCCCTCCAGCTCCTCCCTGAGCTGGTGGGCACCAATCTGGCCTCACGAGCGCCTGGTTTTGTGTGTGTCCCCCCCACCCAGCCTGGTTTACCCGAAGCTGTTCAGCCGCTGCAGCGAGCAGGACATGTGGCAGTTCCTCGGGGACCCCCGGACCAGCTGCCTGCTGAACACCCCCCGCGCGGACGAGCTGTACGGGGGGCCCGTGTGCGGGAACCAGTTTGTGGAGCGGGGAGAGCAGTGCGACTGCGGCTCGCCAGAGGTGGGGAATGCTCTCCGTTCGCTAACTGGGCTGTGTGTCCCCCTTTATGTAGCTGGCTGGGATTTTGGCCTAGGAAAGGTGGATGTTCCCCCTCCCTACATGTCCTCCAAAGAAGTGGCCCAGGAGGGGACATCATGGCATGTTGTCCTTCCAAGAGCTGCCCTCAGCTGTTCCTCACCCCCATCATGGGGGTGGTGGGGTTGAGACAGTTGGGTGATGTCTCTGGGACAAATCCCTGGTCACAGCCTGTGCTGGGAGCACAGAGATCCTCCCGTTTTCTCCTTCCTGGAGATGTACATGGACGCCCAGGCCAGGCCCCCTCCTCTGCAAAAATCCCTTCATGTCCTTTGGTTTGGTGTTGGCAATGGGGGTAAAGAGGCAGCAGGAATGGTTTCCACCCAGGATGATGCTGTGGCTTTGCCCCTCTCGTGCTTCAGTCCGTGGTGGCTTACAGTGCTGTTGGCACCTGGTGATGTGGCAGCCTGGTCCTCCAGGGAAGTGTCTTCTGGGGGGCTCCCGGGAGGTTTTCAGTCCACCCCTGTCTTGCAGGAGTGCTCGGACCGCTGCTGCAATGCCTCCACGTGCCAGCTGAGACAGGGAGCTGAGTGTGCCCAGGGGGAATGCTGCCAGGACTGCAAGGTACTGCTGCCCACAGGGGACCAGCTCGTCGGGGAAAGGAGCTGGCAGGTGCACAGAGTAAAGTGTCAGAGTGTCTGGATCCATGGAATGCTGGGAGACATTTCCCAGACCAGGATTTGCTGTGCCGTGGTGCCTGCATGGCTCTGGAGCTGTGAGGGCATCCCCAGGCAGCGCTGACATCCCCTTTTTCCGTGCAGGTGAAGGCTGCAGGTGTGCTCTGCCGGGCCAGCAAGAACGACTGCGACCTGCCCGAGCACTGCACCGGCCTCAGCGCCGAGTGCCCGGAAGACGTGTTCCAGGAGAACGGCATCTCCTGCCAGAATGGCAACGGATACTGCTACAACGGGGGCTGCCCCTCGCACGGCGAGCAGTGCCGGGCGCTCTGGGGTGCAGGTAGTGGCCCCCCCTCTTCGTCCCACGTGCTGGGGGATGTGCCTGGAGCCCCTCGGGCTGTGGTGCCCTCCTGCGTGAGCTGGGGCGCTGCTGCTGGTCCTAAAGTGCGGCCACCGGTGCCAGCGCCTCCAGCTTGCTGCGTCTCCGTGTGACCCTTTCCGTGTGTCCCGCAGAGGCCCAGGTGGCTCCCGATGTCTGCTTTAAGCACAACAGCGAGCATCACCTCCACCTGCACTGCCTCACCGAGTACGGGAAGCGGCCCTGCAGCCCCAAGTGAGGAGAGGGGTTTGTGTGGGGTGGGGGATCGTCCCTGCCCGGCCGAGCTCCCGCGCCGCCGGTGCTCAGGGCCGCGTGTCCCGCAGGGACGTGAAGTGCGGGACGCTGCTGTGCCTGAGCGACAACTCCAAGCCCATCCTTGGCAGCGGCTACTTCTCCTTCGGCCACTACTCCTTCGGCCGCTTCAACTGCAAGGCCGTCATCGCCGACGGCGAGGTGGCCGCCGAGCTCAGGCTGGTGCCCACGGGCGCCAAGTGCGGGGACGAGATGGTGAGTGCCGGGGCGGCGGGGGCTGGGTGACCACGGGGACCCGGGCGGCTTCAGAGCCCCCTGCCTGCCCCGGGGCAGCCTCAGAGCCCCCCTTGCCCGCCCCCAGGTCTGCTACGCCGGGCGCTGCCAGAGCCTCCTGGTCTACGGCGACAAGAACTGCTCGGCCAAGTGCAACAACCACGGGGTACGCTGCGGGATCGCCCTCCCGCAGGGCTCAGCCTCGGGGCCGCCAGCGTGCCCGCCACCCTGACGCTCTCCTCCCTCGTCCCAGGTGTGCAACCACCGGCGGGAATGTCACTGCGACCCGGGCTGGGCAGCGCCCTACTGCGAGCAGGAGATTTCAGGGATAGCCGCAGGTATGGCACCCCCGGGAGGGAGCCTGGGGAGAGGGCTGGCACCCGCCGCAGTGCTGGGAGTGGCTGCATGTCCCCGGGGGGTGTCCCGATCCCGACCCCAACGGCCCTGTCCCCACAGGGAGCAGCAGCGTGGTCCTGGCGGCCGTGCTGGCCGTGCTGGCACTGGCCGGCACCCTGCTGGCCTGCGGCGTGGTGCTCCTCAGAACCAGGAGCTTCCAGAAAGGGTAATTCCCTCCTCCCATACCCCGCTGCGGGGCTGAGCTCGAGGGGTACCTTGCCGCACAGGTACCACACCCACGCTGTCCCTGTGCCCCACAGGAGCTCTGCCACGGGCCTCGCCAACCCGCTGTTCCAGGAGGGCGGCCGGGCACGGCCTCCCCGGCGGCTGCTGTCCCGCCAGGACATCGGCCAGCCCAGCCTGGTCAGCAGCACGGTGGCCCCGCGGGCGGCCCGGGCCCTGGGGCCCCGCTCGCCCAGCCCCGTGCTGACCCTGCGGCCCCCCGTCCCACAGGGGACACCCCCGGCGTCTCCGGGGTGGCCCCCGCAGGTAACCACCCCTCCGAGGCGGCCCCCAGCCCTACGTGCGCGGGGTGGCTTCGGGGGGCCCTTCCTCTGCCCCCTGTCCCTCTCCGGGTCCCCTTGGAGCCCAGGTGAGGGACTCGGGTCTCTCCTGCCGGCAGGCGAAGCCGAAGCCGCCCAGCAAACCTCTCCCGGCGCTGAAGGGCAGGGTGCTGTGCCACGGCCAGGGGCCACAGGGACCGGCCCTCCCACCGACACCCCCCTCGGCCTTCCAGCGGGGCGCACCCCCGAAGGTGGCCCTGAAACCGCCCCCAGCCAGGAGGTGACCCAGGATGCTCCGTCCGCCACCACGGCCGGCCCCGGAGTGGCACAGCTGGGCGGGTGGCACAGCTGGGCAGCCACCGTCTCACTTCCACCCTTACTTGAATTGCCGTCCCGACCCTCCCCCGGCGGGCGCCAGTGTTTACAGATCCTTGTTGTGCCTTACTGGACTCCGCAGCCTTGTGGCTGTCCCAGGGAGAGCCGTCAGCCGGGGCTTCCCAAGGAAACCAGGAGCGGGACAGCGCCAGCTCCGGTTTCGATGCCAGCCCCGCGTTGGTCCAGGCTCTCCCGCGCCCTGGGAGCCGCTGCCTTCTCTCCTGACGTCCTGAATGTGTCCTGCTCCTCCTGCCCCTTCCCTGTGAGGAGCTCCTGGAATCCCTGGCAGGAGGAGCACTGCTTTGTGGGCACCGTGTCGTGGGAACGCTGCCCTGCACGGGGACATCGCACCGGGAGATGTCACCAGAAGCTTTGGCAGGTCCAAGCCAGGCTTGGTTTCCCCACGGGGCTTTTTATCTCTCAAGTTATCCCTGGAGTTACTGTTCTGAAAGGGAATTCCCTGGGAGCCTTTTTACTGCAGCCATTTATTTATGACCCTTACCATTTCAAGCCACCTGCTGTGAAAACAGGCCTCCCATTTTTGATATAATTTCGGTTTAAGGCTTTTATACCAATAAAGACTGAAGGTAGTGGTGTCACGGGGTGTCTCTGGGCAGGAGGGGACAGCAGGGTGGCAGCAGGTTGGGAGCTGTGTGGGGTCATGGGAAGGGGAGAAGGCTTGGAGCTGAGCTCCCCAATCCTGTGCCAGAGCAACAGGGGCCAAACAGCAGTACGTTCTGCCAGTCAAACAGAGGAGGCTGCCCAGGGGCTGCAGGATGCTGCAGAGAGTCTCCCCCGTGCTCAGCACCATCCTGGCTGTGGTTTAATTTGAGCACAGGCTGCTCATGGGACTCCCAGGGTGGCAGTGGTTGCAGCTGAGGACACAGGTGAGAGGCAGAGGGGGACCCCACTCCACGTGCCTACAGTGACACCAGCCCCAGGACACACAAAACCATCCCGAAAAATGGTAACAAAATAATTTTATTCTGCTTTATCAAAAGAACTTAACACTGTGAATGTAAACCTGACCATATGTATCGTGTTTCCTTAAGGAGATGCTGATCCAGGGGCACACCCCTTTAGTCACAGGCGCACACAGGCCCTTGCAATGGAGAGAAAAAGCCAGTTCTAACCCACAGCCCCATGTCCCTGCTCACAGCTGGGGCTCAGAGGGAAGCACAGCCCACCCTGGGGTGCTAAAGCCACGGCAATCCCCTCCTGCATTCCTACTGGGGCTTCTGCAGCAGCGGCTGGGCAAGCAGGGAGGAAGGGAGGGAGGAGGCTTTTGCAGAAGGCACCGAGCATCACACAGGCTGCTGCAGGACTTGGGAATAGAGGAGCATCCCCCAGGGTCCCTCAGACCAGGCTGATGTCACCAGAGCAGGGGGGACACCGAACCAGTGACAGCCACTCAGGGTAAAGCCATGCACCCACCTGGATAGTGCAGGGAGGCCCAGCAAGGCTCAGGTCCAGAGGGAAGCAGCCTTTCCTGCACTGGCCTGGAAGGTTTTCCTGCTCCCTGCACGGGCATCTTACTCTGGTCGCTGCAGGAGAGCTGTGAGCTGCCTGGTTACCGCTCCCAGCAGTTCCCCTCGTGTCCCTGTCACCTCCAGGCTGGCAGAACCTACCCTGCCCACCCATTCTGGATGCCCAGAGTGTCCAACCCCAGTAACACATGGAGACAAGCCTACATCCCTGCCAGCATCCCATCCAGCAGTGCTTCTGCTCTGTAAAGCCCGCCCTCCTCCCAAAATCCAAGTGAAGTGGGTGCTGCCAGGGTGAGGAGAGGCTGTGCCCCTGTGCCAAGGGCTTGCTTCACCACTGAGGAGGTAGCAGCTCAGAGATGTGACTCCACCGCCTCCCCAAAGCCCTTCCCACGGGAGGAAGGGGACCCTGCAAGTCAAACAGCACCTTCCAGGAGGCATTTCAAACACCACAGCTACAAATTACACCGCCACTTCCTCTCCACACCGGTGCCCCGAGTCCCTGGCTCCTGCCATGGCTGGGTTGGGAGAGGAGCTGCTGTTGTGGAGCAGAGCACCAACCGTGCCTTGGGAGTTTGCAGCCAGATAAGAGGATAGAAAGACCACCTGAAGCTGCTGCCAAGTCCCACAGTTGTAAACCACCCCCTGCAGAAGGGGCAGGGCCGACACATCCCTGCTCTGCCCCAGACACAGAGGAGGGGGAGCCAGGGCAGGAGCTGAGACAGCACAAGGCACCACCACGTGTCACCAGACCTCCTCGAGACAATGCCGCCCTCCAAGCCGAGCCACGTGTGGTGGGAACGCAGCACTGCAAAGCCTGAAGCCCACACAGCTCGTCTGGGGACATCATCAGCGCAGGTAAAGCTCAAGCCTCTTGTTTGGGGTTGAATGTTTCACTGCGGTAAAAGCTGAACGCGTCCCTCCCGTTGCTGTCACGAGGCTGCAGATGGTGCCGGGGACACAAGATCTCCACAGGCAGAGTGCCTGGAGTGCCACCAGAGGGTCTTCCTGCCAGCACTGCTTGGGAGCAGCCTGAAGTCCTGCACTGCAGCAAACCTGCCCAGGGATGAGGGGACCAGGGATACACTCTCACCATGGCTGTCGAAGGACACACGAGGCAGGTCCCACTTCTTGGAGCAGTGGATTTTGCAGCTGAGGTGTCAAACATCTGATCTGCTGCACTGCAGGGTCCCCTTCACTCTTCTCTTCCCCTCAGTACTTTGCCAGCACGGCAGAGCAGTGGAAATTCAGCCCCTTTTCCCTGCTGACCTATAGGAAGGCTGGGATCTGAGCAGAGATTTCCCAAGTTGGGATCTAGGCAGAGGTTTCCCAAGCTGTGCTCCCAACCAGCTGCTCCGAGGTGCTCCCGAAATCTGGTTTAGGATGCAAGGTGAGCCCCAGCCATGCAGCTGAAACACCCTACAGTCAGTCCCAGGCAGCCAGTGCGAGGCTCTTGCTTGGAGAGGGGAGTTGCAGAATCCCATCAGAGATCGCTTGCTCCAAGTCGTTACCTAGTGTTGCTGTCTACAGGAATATTATGGCTATGCAGATCCTATTCCAGTAACCTATTCCACACCAAACCATTCCTTGCCCTGAGCAGGAACACGCTGGCCAAGGAGAGCTCACTCCACCAGAGTCCTTGAGGAGAGCGAGCGAGCAATGGCAGGAAGTGCCCGGAGTCCACAAAAGTGAAGCTTCATTGGCGGGACGAAGGAAACCTCCTCTTCGCTCGGCCTCAGCCAGGAGCACTGGGAATGCGCAGGGTGCAGCAACACAGCACTCAAAGCCACATCTCCTACCTCCAGAGCAACGCCTGCTAAATAAACTGCACCTACTCCCGAAGGCTTTTCCCGGCGTCTGTCTTTTAATATTCCAGTATAGGTATGTTAGTACAGGATTATCCCTCCTTTGGAAGCACCAGTTTAACAGGGGAAGAAACGGAAGAGGCAGAGCCCTTGCAACCTGTTGCCAGAAGAAAATCAACCCAACTGCCACCTATACACAAGATGTCCAGGCATGTGCTGCGTCCGCCCCACCAGCCCGGGGCCACGTCCCCGATCACAGCCGGGCTTTGCTGCTGAGCGACACCGGGATTCCTCCTGCCCTCGTCAGCCAGTGCTCTCCTTGGCTCTGAGGTGGCTTTCTCCAGAGGTCTCCGGGGCCTCCTGTGCGGGAAGGCTGGTTTCTTGGGCAGTCCTCGGGCTGGCCTGCTGGAAGGCACAGGAATCCAGGAACACGCCGGGGATGCGGTCACCGAAGTACAGTTTGCTGTTGGCGGCTATCGCCTGGTACTTCATCAGCTCCAGGTACTCGGGGGTCAGCTTCAGCTACAGAAACAGAAACCAGGGGCTGTAAGACACAACCTTCTGGGTGCTGCACCATTAAATACCGTGTCAGGCAGACACCCTCTGGTATGCAGGCTGTGAAATCAAGCATTTTTCCTGTGCTGCCCACCTAAAGTTTATCTCCTGTGTACAGGGAAAGAGGCAGTGAGTCCCATCCTGACCAGCTTCCCAGTGCTCACCTTGTTGGCATCAGCCAGCTTCCGAGCAGTGTAGTACTCAGCATCAGCTTTGGCCTTCTGTCTTGCCAGGAACGCAGCATCTAACACAGCAGCAGAGGATGGACAGGAAAAAAAGCGTTAGGAAGCGAACAGTCCCACCACACTGAGCACCTGAGTTCTCATCCCGTGGGGACCAGCTGACCCAGGAGAGCTTGTGACAGCCTGGATGGCCCTGCACCTGCCCTGTGGCTTCTTGGAGCGTTCCCAGTGCACAGCCTTGCACTACTGCACCCTGGATGAGCTCTGCAGGACAGCCTGTGAGCCCAGTTCTGAGGCTGCCCAACCTGCCACGTCCCCCTCAGCCTGGAAAACAACCCCAGCAGTGCAAGTCACCTTCAATCTCGGAGATCCGCTTCTCTGTTTCCTTCTCCATAATCTTCTGTTGGTAGTGAATCTTGGCCACCTGTGCAGCCTTCTCTGCCTCTGCAATCACAACGGGCTCGGCTCAGGAATTTGCTTCTCAGGGCTTGAGCACCAGCACCCCAAGCCAGCACCCCACTGCAGGATCTGCCACACCAGGAGTCCATTCCCTGCTCCCTCCCTTCCTGCCCGGATCCTGCAGTGCCAGCCTGTACTCCAAGCACTACAGTTACAGGAAGAAAACACAGTGCTGATGTCTTTGGAGCTGATATCCCGTTTACCAGGGTGATCCCCCAGCACACTGAGCTCCAAGCCCAGTTTCTCCAGCGGAGTGGCTGTAGGACAGAGGTGCTCACTTGCTCTGCTGCCACGGGAGGGAGGTGGGACAGAGATATAGCAGCAAAGGCACTCAGATTTTCAAAATGACTCCTGGTGCAGCCTGGCCATGCCTCCCTCAGTTAGCAGGGAATGCAGGAATGGAAGCTCAGCCTGCCCTGGTCAC